TATATATACACACAGAGACATATATATATATATATATATATATATATATATATATATATATATATATATATATATATATATATATATATATATATATATATATATCTGTGTGTGTGTGTGTATATGTATGTATGTATGTATATATATTTATATGTATAAATATTATATAGGTGTGAAGTCCAAGTGTATAGCTATGATGCTATATACTATTATTGATGTAGTGGGATTTTGATATCCATTAGATTGGTTTCAATCTAGACCTTTTATTCTTATATAAGCTAAAGTTTTTAGGCTAATTGAATATGCATATTTCTATATTCTATTTCTATATTTCATACTTTAACATTAGTGGAGGTGAAAGGTAATTTTAATTGTTTCTGAAGAGTTTTTTGTTTACTCTTGCATTGTCTATATCTCTTTTGTTTTTATAGCTTTTTAAGTTTTTTTCTTTTTGTTCATTTTCATGGCAAAGTAGCATACTTCTTTGCAACAACCTCCTCCTCCTCTTATGCTAGAGCAGTTGTTTAATACTATGCAATTGCAACTCACTAATCAAACTCAGTTGATAATAACATTCATAACATGTGATACAACTTCTTATATTCTTGCTACCAATCCTCATGTTTAGCCAAAGTCTTCTATAGGAATTTTAGGGATGATATATATAATTGGTTTTATCACTTTACAATAATTGCCACTTATCATTTTTAAGATGATGCCTAGCATTTACACAAGTTTCCCACATATTTCCAAGAAACAACATTGAATGGTTTAAGTATAGCCACTTATATAGATTGTAATTTTCTCCCGAGTATCTTCAAGTACATATTTGAACATGTTGACAACTATAATAATGCCTTTCAGCAATTTTATTATTTATGTTATGGGCCATCTAAGTTAGTTATACAAATTAGTGTTCATTTTCGGAGTCTCTTGCTTCATGTAGAGTTAAATATGTCCGAGTGGATCAAGTTAGATATGCTATGGCTAGCATTTCATCAACATCTTGTGAGAGTTATTCATACATTTGATAAAGATCTTTGACTAGCATAATATTATAAAATATCATTTCTTCTACTTGTAATTGCACATACTTCAATTCCACTTTTTATAGGAGATGATTTTGTTCCAATGGAGGTTGAGGCTATTACTGTTTGTGTTAAAGGATAAAAACAAGGATGTGGTTGTGAATATAATGTTTCTTGTTGCATATGATAAGGTTTGCCACACATATCAACATTGTTGATGTTTCCTAGATTAACATCCTTAATTTTTTAGGTGGAGGCCTTGGCATTAATAATGCTATATTAGTGCTATTGTAATGGAAGGTTTTGACATTAAATTTTTTTCTAGGAAATAAAGAATCACACAAGTAGTGAAGGGATCTTAAGTGAATAAGTCAATGACCTCTCAATCCTTATTTTAGGAATATCATCAAAATGTTCATTTAGCACTAGTTCATATTTTCCAAACTCAATTTATAGTAAAAGGTCTTGACATTAAAAGTTTTTTTAGGAAATAGGGAGTCACGCAAATAGTGAAAGGATCTTAAGTGAATAAATCAATGACCTCTCAATCCTTGTTTGAGGAATATCATTAAAAGGTTTATTTAGCACTAGTTCATACTTTCCAAACTTAATTTATAGTAAAAGGTCTTGACATTAAAATTTTTTCTAGGAAATAGGGTCATACAAGTAGTGAAAGGATTTTATATGAATAAATTAATAACCTCTCAATCTTTGGTTTAGGAATATCATCAAAAAGTTCATTTAGCACTAGTTTATACTTTTCAAACTCAATTTATAGTAAAAAGTCTTATATTATCCTTTTTATGTTAGTCGATATGAGTTTGAATTTATTTTTTATTGCTCAACTTATTGCTACACATTGCTGTCTATATCACTAGAAGGTATATAATATAGTTTTTACATAATTTTTATTTTTTGCCTCATATTTAAAACTAATATAAATTTTGGTTAAAAAAAAGTGAAACTAATATATGTTTTATATAACAGCTTTACTTTATAGTTTATTAAGTAGTTTGGTACGTGGTTTACATAATAGTTTCTATGATAGTTTGAATTACTTGTTTAATATATTGTTTGTATAATAGTTTCTCTATATGTGCTTAATATTAAAATTACAAATATTGTGCAACAGATAACTTTGTGATATTAAAAATTAAATATTTCCGGTTAATTATTTTTTAAAATACTTTTCTTTCAACAGACTTTTTTAAAAAAATGCTAGCATTATTCTAAAATTATTTCAGATTTACTTGATTTGTTCAGGTGAGTGATTACCCACCTGAACAAATCTTTCATTTTCTATAGAAACACCACAATGGATGTTACCCACATTTGAGTGGCATTGCCCTCACAATGATATCAGAAGAACCCCAGGAGTGAGGCAGAAGTTAAAATTGAATCGAAGAACCATCATCACGTTGGTCGCCAAGTGGAGAACCCTGGTTCGAATCCAGGTTCATGATGATGATTTTGTCAAAAGGTTTGGATTGTTGGAAGCCTAGCAAATATTTTCAACACGTAGTTTTATTGTAGGGTTTTTTGGGAAGAAGCTGCGATGGCGCGGCGATCTCTTGGCGCTCAAGGCACCGGAGGCGGTGCTATGATCTATCTCTAGAGGAGCTGAATTTCTCGTAGGATTCTAGATTCATCCAGGTAGCGCGAGCGGCGATGCATCTCTACAATGCGTGGCTGCCGCCGCCCGTCGTGGAGGCCATCCGCGGCGAGGAGGAGGTGATGGGGGAGATTGCTGATAAGGTCCAGCGGGCATGGAAGCCGAACGATCCCAAGAGCAAATTCGCGACGCTCAAGTGGATTTCTCTCATCAACAAGTAGGATTTTCTTTGTCCTCTTTCCTGTCTAAAATTTTTGGAAAATGTGGCCTCAGCTTGGTCAGGGCGAAAATCAGGCCGGCAAAGCCTGCTCTAGATGCTGTAGCGAGGCTTGGATTCGACGTCTTCTTCCATTCTTCAGACAATTTATTTGTCCAGGTATGAAGAAAATTACGTGGAGATCGCCTCGATATTCTTATTCTTATATATTTTGTCACAGGTTCGATGGGCCTCGTGCTTGTCTAAACTTCTTAGCAAGTACCACAAGGATATAACTTTGGAGCTCGACTGGAGAAAATTCTACGAGATGATGCTATTGATTCACTTCAAACGGTTTGTTCGTTCTATTCTTTTTCATCCCGAATCAGAAGTCCTCTTTTTCATCATCCCTTCCATTCATTGTTGTAGGAGATTTTTCTTTGAAGGGATAGCTCTACGGCAAATTCATCTGGAATCACTAGTTCTTCTTATATCCAACTCTCGCCGCTTCTTCCGTCCGGGGTCTGCGTCAGAAATATGGGCAGAATTCAGGTGTGTCTCAATTGTGTTGTTTCGAGTATTTAGAGGCAACGTTTCATCAGACCGTACTTGGACACTGGCATTCACAATTCGTCCCTGGAAGCTGTGGGTTTTCTCTCACTTTTTCTTCCAACAAAGCCTGTTGAACCGGACACCAACGTATTTACATGGTAATATAGCTTGGTATGTCCTAGTTACGTGCTGATCACCTTACTTGTGGCAGTGATTGGTTTGGCGAATGCTTAAGACTTTGGGATGGAATCAGCGATTGTCCGTACTGGGACCGTCAATGGGCTTGTTTGCTCGGGCGCTTCATCAAACATAGAGCCTATGCCTCACCGATTGACTGGGCTCCGTTCCTCCCGAGTCTATTTGGACACTTCTTGAACATGTTTGAGGTGGGATCAAATTCTCTGATAAACTTATGTGTGTCTGTTCTACAATATCCTCAGGTTCCTGTTGCAAAATCAGATGCAACACCTCCGATTGAAAGAGAAGTTCCTTACGATTTGAGGCTTGCGTTTAATGGCAACTGGAAGCCGGCACCAAAGAATGTGGCTAAAGCAATTGTAAGAGACTTTGCTACCGCACAGCCGCTTACGCCTATACTCGTTTGCTTTACAGGTTTACTTGATTCAGCCTGAGGGTAGTGCACAAGATCTCTTTGAGCAACTTGTGGATCTTCTCGAACAGTTGAGTGAAGTTAAGCTTTATGACTGCTAAGTAACAAAATGTTTGCACAGATACTATCATCCTTCAAATGGAGGTTCTTGGACATCATCACTTGAACAATTTCTGCGCCATCTATCTTATTTCTTTATTAAACGACTCTCTTACGAGCAACAGTAAGCTTCGTACTGTAGTTTTCTAATGGTTTTCATACATTTTTACTTTTGTAGGCACAATTGTCAAAAGAACTTCCTGGGGCCCGACGAAAGAGAGGCGTTCGTCAAGACAATTGTAAGGCTGATAGAAAGAGGACAATACAGCAAGAGTGGGCGATTGGCTGTAACGTCTTCTAATGTGGCTTCAGGACTTGCCTTCGTCGCCCCTTCGGTTATTCTGCCTTTCATTGTGTCTCGTTTTGAAGCGGCTATGATCACTGTGAGTTGCTCATTTTGCTCCGACAAACGCTAATATGCAATGTTTCAGGTCACTGCTACGCATCAGCTTGAGTCTGCATTGACCACATTGGCCCTTGCATCTCGTGCAGTATTACTTTCGGAGAATATTGATACTGACCTTCAGATGGAAGCAGACACATCCAATCGACTGGACTTTTCTTTTAACTTATCTTTTGTGGACTGCAAAACCACGCTGGTTGAGGCAATGTTCACCACTTTATTGGGCATTGATGCTAACGATCCCCCTAAAACACTTGCAACCGTGCAGTTCTACGCATCCGTTGTGGCGAATGTGAGTACCTCTGAAAGATAGGTGAAAATCTGCTAATGTGGTTGTGCTCTCAGGTTGGAAGTATTGGAGAGATCACAGACGGTGGCTCTTCTGTTTTGTCTATGGATTGGTCTCAATGGCTGGACGAGTTTTTGTCCCGCCTGTTCGTCCTTTTGCGGCATGTTGAGTCTGGCACGCACACGTAAGTAGTCTCGTTGAAAATGAAAACAATTTGTCTGACGTATTTTAATTTCATATTAGCGGAGATATAAATCTGGGTGAAGGTTCACATAAATCTTCCAGTACATTTCTCATGCAAGAACATTCTTTATACTCAACGTTGATTGAGCTTCTCTTTGGAAGGCTGACAAGGCCTTTGTTTCAACAGGTGCCTCTTTTCTTTTGGTTGTTTTTTTTTTTTTTAATAACTTCTTTTCGGATTCCTCAGGCTATGAAAAAAGTTGCGAAATTCGCATACAGCAACATTTTACCAGGTGCAGTCACGGAAATGGGCTTGCTTTGCTCAGCACTTGTGTACGCAAATCCTGTGGAAACAGTATCACAGGTTCTTTTACCTATCATGAAAAACGTGTTGAACACTTTAACCGACGTTGAAGCCACGGGCTCTGCTTCAAGCAGCTCAACACAAGCGGATACAAAAGTAAGAAACTTAATGGATTTCACTATCTCACTAATTTTATTGTGACTGTTGTATTTTTTGCAGGTGAATCTTTCTCCGGCGACGGAAACTTCCGTTTCAGCTCAGCTAACGCTGCTGTGTTTTGGCATGATGAATGCCGGACCTGCTCTTCTTCAATGCCAGGACGTTCTGAAGCGCATTATTGCTTCTTGCTTTAATCTTACATCCGCTAAGGTAAAAGTTTTGAGAGTTTGCACATTTATTGATGGTGTATACAGGTCAATGAGGCTGGAGAACGATTTCTTAGTTCTGTAGTGGAAAGCTTGCTGCTCTATTATCCACTTCAACAATACAGGTGACTTGGCTTGGATCGACAAATTGAATTGGACGCCTCGTTTTCTTTTGCAGATCTTGCTCGGAATATCCTGGTCACGATGGCATAGAGTCATGGATAAGCACTAAAGAACCCTCTTTATCACTTGTATCACCTATGTGGCATCTTCCCAGTGAAGAAGAAGTAGCTTTTGCTGAAGAAGTAATCCAATTGCACCTTCGAAATGCATTATTGGATCTTCGAAGTCTCTGTGAAATGAACTCCGGTACGTTGTTTTACGTTTTTTTTATAAGTTTTACTGATTTTATGTTGACAGTTCCAAACAAGGAAAAGCTACGGATACTATTGTTGCAAATTAATGGGAGTCTAAAGGGTGCCAGATCGGCCTTGCCCGATTTTACAAATGAAAGCTCCAAGGGTCCACTCCGCATTGCTGGAAAAACTGGAGCATCTGTTGGCAACTCGAAGTTAAGGGAAGAAGCTGCCGACACCTTAATCAAGGCTTGCGAGTAAGATTCAAACTTTTGTCTAAAGGTATACTTATGCACGAGTCTTCTTTAGGTACTTGCTGAAAGCGAAAGCTGACGACACAGCACTGCTTATTTTGCTAGTTCAATCATTAGATCTCGTTGGAAACTACGGTACTGTAGTTTTTCCCGTTTTTCTTCTTATTTACTCATGTATAATTTTGTACAGGCTCACCAGAATATAACGAATGGTCTCACGGGAAGCATACTTGGAAGCTTGACTCTAAAAACCTGGTTGAGCCGAGAGTCAATTTTATCACTGGAATTCATTCTGCGGGAAAGCGCAGGTTGATCTCCATTGGCAACTATTTGCCATCACTAATTCCTTTTTTCTGTTCAGGCCATACTGGATGATGACTGAGATGGTCTATCTTCACAATACTTGGCGTGCATCACAGGCTGGCTATCGTCACTTTGAGCGCAATGAGGTGTGTCCTTACGTGGTAAAGGTTGCAACCGAACTCTTGAAGCTCTCTCTTCACAGCTACGATGAAGTTCGCGAGTAAGAGAACTACACTTTCGTACGACCATATTTACTTGTGTGATTTGTTTAGTTTTGCGGGCGCGTCGCTGAAGAAGATGCTAAAACGGTATCCACCGCTTGTGAAGTCCTGCATGCCAACCTTGGCCTCAAGTTTGCAAGATGCCGATGCCATGGAGCACTCTGCGCTGGGTTCTTGCTCCATTCTTGCTTCTAGACCAGTATTGAGACATATTGCACAGGTTTGTGATTAAAGATCTGGTATATTTAACTATTTGATGTTTAGGACTGGAAATCCTTGGCGATGTTCATACAAGCTGTCCTTGGAAGGTGACGTTCCAATTACTTTCAGTATTTGTTTCTGACGTTATTTGACATTTCCAGTTCTCGTCACAGTTCCGTCAAAGCTCAGACAGCTATTAGTGAGGTAGAGCTGCTTCGATCCATCTGCCATATCATACTGAGACCCCTTTTCAGCTTGCTATTGCTTTTAGTGTTCGTTTCGGTGGAGTTCCATTGAGCGGGCTTGATACGGAGGCTAATGACGCCTTACCAAATTATAGCCAGCTTTTGTCACTCGTTAAGGATTCGTCAGATGGGGACACTGGAGCCGTTCATTGGCGGTAATTTCAGGAAGTTATAATATACTCTATCATCGAGTTAATATCATCTTATTTCTACAGCTACAAGCTTATGGCTCATGTGGGGATGCTATGCTTGGTGCTGCCGCTGGATGACACCGATCATGCGGCAGAAATCCTGGAAACCAGGAAGTTTTTAGCTGGTAAGTAGTAGCTACAAAGCAACGAGCGATACTCATTCTTTCTACTACAGGAGAGTTCATCAATGCCCTTGGAAGTGATTTACCATCACTCAGGCCTTTGTCCGTTATTGCTCTCTTGCTCTTATTGCGTTCGGGCCACTACAAGATAGACAGAAATGCTACCAACTTTTCTCTGGAAGACGCTTTAACTCCAGTTTTCCAACAGCCATCATTTGCCTCTCGGATGGTGAAGAACTTATCTCTGGACCATCACTACAGTGAAGGCCAGGGGCGCTCTCGTGGTGCTAGAGTTCAGGCCGCAGATTTGAGCGTCATTGGCATGATGCCAGCTTTTGTCCGTCAATGGCCAACCACTCGAAACTGGGTAGTCATCAGCAAAGGCGAAGCATTTTCTCCAAGACTTGCCAAGCTTTTTAAACGACTGGTTCAGGAGTGTGGTTCTGGTGCTCTGGAAGCTCTTCGTGGTCCCTTGGAAGATGCAGTAAATGCTAGCGAAGAGAAGACTATGCAGTGCATGGCGGCTGAGATACTGGCCGGGCTTCTACATTCAGACGTCAGAGCTGTTGTGGAAGCATGGGGAATATGGCTCTCGGATCTACTTCACAAGGCCCTCATGCAAGCAAATCCGGAATCTCTTGCAGAATGGGCTGCTTGTGTACGCTTTTCGTCCACTGGCAAAGGGAGGAAAGGTCTGAGGGCACCTCTTTTGCGTCAAGCTATGTTTGAAGCTCTGATGACGAGACAGTTGCCATCCACTGCATCATCGAACCTTGTTTCAAAGCGCCTGCAGTATCTACTTTCCGTAGTGATGGAGCTGAGACCGGAAGCAGCAACGGAGCAGGAAATTAACGTGCAACTGAACCTTCTCGTAGAGGTTATGGAGTACATGGCGAATCCTTCGTCGCAGGTAATACGATATCTTCTTTCTTCTATCTTTCCCAGCTGCTTTTTCTTACCAGGTACGGCAAAACGTTGGAAAGATTATGTGCGTGCTGTGCACAAATCTCCAAGACGCTCGCAGCTCGCCGTTGCTGAATGAAAAAGATGTGCCAGATTGGAAAACAAGCTTGTTGAATGGCACGGTAACAGCCACTGCGAAGATACAGAAGTCATTAGAGAATACAGAAGCCGCAGGTGATTTGAGCAGCAACACCGACGTCCAGGAAGCTGTAAAATACATGGAAACGGTAGGTGCTTCTTGTGCCGGTCATTCTCGGATAAAAAGTCGGTGTGTTCTTCTTTTCCAGGTTTTCCAATTTTTGATAGCGGCCATGGCATCGGGACGAGCTTCTTACCTTATGCCTGTACTCGTTGGAGCTTTGCCATCTGTTTTGGCTTTACAAGTAAGTGACTTGAGCTTTAACTTCATGTTCTAATGTTTCTTATCACAGGAAACGTCGCACAAAGACATGTCTTTCCTTGCAAAACTCGCGGTGTTCCTGTATAAATGGCAGCCATTTGGCAACGAATACAGAACCAAAGCCGTTGGAGCTATCGCCTCGGCTGCAAACGATAGCAATTGGCGCACACGCCTGTCAGCATTAACGTTCTCTCAGTCCTTTGCATACAGGTTGAACTCCTTTCTTGTATCACTTGTCCTCACAATTTTTTTCTCTAGACATGCCTTTACTCTGGAAAAAGAAGAGGTCACTCGGTTGTGGAACTGCGTGCAGAACCTTTTGTCGGATTCACAACTAGAGGTATGCATGACCTGCCGGATCTGTTTTTTTTAACTTACGTTCTGATAAAGGTGAGGGAAACGGCATCGACCACCCTTTCAGGCATGTTGAAGGGGCCCGTTAGTGATCTTCCTGTGGCCTTTCGTGAGGGCATTTTGAGTTCCTCTCAAAAGAATATGAAGTTGAAAAGCAACAGGTACTGTGGAGCTATGCCAAATGTTCTCTTATGTTCATGCGTCCTCTTCCAGGGGCAAAGCAAGTGATGACAAGATTGTCAAGCACGGAATAGTGATGGGCTTGAGAGCATGCGTACTATCAGCACCATACGACATTCCCCGGTACTTGAAAAACTGACTTATTTTAAAAGTCCGTGTTTCGAATTTTCTACATTACAGGTGGCTTCCGGATATCATTTTTGCTCTAGCCAAATTCACGCATGAGCCATCGCCTATATCAAACACTGTCAGAAAGACAATTGCGGAGTTTCGACGGACTCACGCTGACACCTGGGCGTATCAGAAGAACTATTTTTCAGAAGAGCAACTAGAGGTACTTGAAATTTTTTGCTGCGTCTTAATTTATCTCACACTCAAAGCTTGTCCTCAGGTTCTTGCCGATTTATCATCCTCCGCATCTTACTTCGCATGAAAAAATGCTCCGACAGACGGTTGATAACAAACACTATGTGTACATAAGTCTTTTGTCTTTTAACTATCAACTTGGTGAATTCCACCGACGAGCTAGACGCCACTTTACAGCTTTGGAAGCAGTGAAATGCTTCGCATATCCAAGTGCTCCTCGGTTCGTATATATTTGTCTGTAATCAAGACATTGTAAGGAAGCGATGGGAGTCTTACAGCTGGTGCTTCTGTCCCTGTGCACATTCTTCGTCCTTGGACGGGTTAAATCCTGAAAGGATATCAAAGAGAAATAACGAAGTTTTCTTTCTTTTCTATTTATGCAGGCCGCTGTGATGAGTTCTCACTACTGGGCCAACAAGATCAAAGACGGGAGCTTTGAATCTACCGATGCCGCTAGCTTCTGCTCGGATCTGCGACTCTTGTGCAAGGACGACGTCCCGATAGCCGACTCCTCCTTCGACTTCTACGAGCCTCCATACGTTCTCGACATCTCCAGCAGGGGGCGCTTCTTCCCCGCCACTCTCCTCGTCGAAGGCACCACGCTCGCCATGGCCAACCCCAGCTACGCCCCCGCTCCGGCGAGGCCATTCCTCCCATACTCGGTGTCTCAGCAGCTCAAGATCAACACGCAAAGCCTGCCCGAGCTCAAGAAGATGTTTGGAATCCGAGACGGCTCCAACATGGCAATCAACCTCCAAAAAGCCGCGACAACGTGCTCCGCCCCCGACCACACCTGCGTCTCCTCGATCAAATCCATGCACGAATTGATCGTCTCCAAGCTGGGGACGAGCTCCGTGAGAATGCTCCAGACCATCCTCCCGCAAGGACTCGCGTCCACCTTCAACGCCACCATCGCTCGAGTCGACAAGATCAGCAAAACAAGGCCCGAAACCGGCGACGAGGAGCCCAACGTCTCGTGCCATTCCACCATGTTTCCCTTCCAGCTCTACTCGTGCCACTCGCTCCCGAACACGCAGATCTTCACTGTCGGGTTTGATACTGTTGACCACACTGACGGGAAGTCAATCCTCGTTGACTATGTGGCGGCGTGCCATGTCGATACCAGCACCTGGAATGCAGACTTTCCGGCGTTCAAGGAGTTGGGCATGCAGCCGGGCAAGGGCGCGGTTTGTCACTGGATTGGAGGGCTGGACATCGCTTGGGTTAGAGAATAAATGGATTAATACTTTTTCTTCTTTTCTTTTTGACCCTTGAAAAGAATAAGTATTCATATAATGTATGTATTATAAGATCCCACAAGATAATTAGTATTCTCAGAAGGTGTGGAATAGCTTAATGGGGGCATATATTCACAAACAATGTCCCTTAGGGACTGAAACATAGGCGAAGCTCTCAACTCTCAGGCCAAACTCTCATCTCTCCAGAACTCCACGAGCACGATTGCTGTCACAGCTGTGGCCAGCAGCGGATGTAGGAGAGTTGGTGTTGCACACATGGCAATTCTTTCTCCAATACTAACGTAATGGAGGTTCTGCAGAGGCCCCCAAGCTCTGTGTTGTCGTTGCGCTGATCGTGTGGCACGGTGCTGTCAGCTCTTAAAAAGCATTCCCTCCCTGTTACAATTACAACAACATGTTGATAGATAGATAGATAGATAGATGGACATGGGATTTTCTTTGCCTAATTTATCTTACATTCAAAGCTTGTCCTCAGGTTCTTGCTGATTTATCATCCTCCGCATCTTACTGCGTATGAAGTCAGCTCGAACAGATACAAAGGTATCGTTGGTAACAAGTATTACACTGTGTGCTTAAGTTTTTTAAACTATCAACTTAGCTAGATCCAACCATTGGAAGGAAAATGCTCGCATATATACCAAATGCTCCATGTGCACATTCTTCGTCCTTGGACGGGCAAAATTCGTTGTTTCTCTTTGATATTCCTTCAAGTTTTCTTTGTTTTCTGTTTACGCGGAGATGTCGAGAGCTCGTAGTTGTCGAAGGTGAGGTCGGCTATCGAAGCGTCGTCCTTCGAGCAGAAGCTAGCGGCGTCGCTAGATTCAAAGCTCCCGTCCTTGATCTTGTTGGCCCAGTAGTGAGAAGTCCTACGCGCAAACGAGCTCAATAAGATGTTCAGAGTCCGAGACGGCTCCAACATGTCCATCAACCTCGCCCCGCACCACACCTGCGTCTCCTCGATCAAGTCCATGCACGAATTCATCGTCTCCAAGCTGGGGACGAGCTCCATGAAAGTGATCCAGACCATCCTCCCACAAGGACTCGCCTTCATCTTCAACGCCACCAGCGGTCAAGTCGACAAGATCAGCAAAACAACGCCAGCTGGCGACGAGGAGCCCAACGTCCCGTGCCATTCAATTATGCTTCCCTTCCAGCTCTACTCGTGCCACTGGCTCCCAAACACGCAGATCTTCACCGCTGTTGACCACGTTGACGGTAAGTCAGCCCTAGTTGACTATGTGGCATGTACTGGATTGGAGGACGTTGTAGTATAACGAGCCCGAGGCAGAACACGTGGAGGGATGACTCGGCAAGGAGATCTGACGTGGCGGGGAGGGGTTTGTTACAGAGGATCGGGCGGCGGATCAGTAGGGGACTTCTTGGGATGCAGCAGGGCAGTGATAAAGGACATGGCAGGAGCTGCTTGGGAACAGCATGACGAGCAAGGGCAATCACAGTAAAGGCTTTGACCTAGTGTGGATCGCCCAGGCTTACGCCCATTTTAGAACCGCTACAGGACGTGACATTGTGTAGGCTGGAGAATAAAAATAAAAAAAGTCCAAGATTGAGGACCCCTTCTCCACAAGTGGACATTATACACTACAAGGGGTGTTATTGATGCGTCTTGCGAAAGAAGCAAAAATGAAAAGAAGAAAAAAGCCTGATTCCTGTTTGTGTGTGGATGTATTCTACTGAGATCATGTAGTGCCCACTAGCAGCACGAGACTCCAATTCACATACTCTACCATAGCCAAAAAGTCTCTAAGAGTACTTTTATAATCCGAAGTGGATTTCAAACATATCCAATGGAGGAAGACCTTCCAACCACCATTAATTTATCAGCCAGCGCTACGGTGTAATGTGTAAGTGAACACTTCTCTGGAGAAATAGCTGCTAGGATTCAAAGCTCAGGAAGAGAACCTCTAACTGCTACTAATGAGTTTACTTTTATACTATTAGAAAATTTGTAACTTACCATTTTGGATAGTAGTCTTGCAACATACCTTTGCTCATCAAATCGTATATGCCAACGCTGAAAAACTTTACATTAGTATTATACTGTCGATGCCAATTTCTATTCCCTTCATCCCACGTTTTTCATCCCCCACGTCTCATTTCAGCGAGAAAGTGAGCGTGTAATAACGTCATCCTGATGTCCCTACTTTTACAGTGAAAGAGAAGGAGAAGTAAATGTGATAGACCTATGTCAACCACCTACTGTCCATGATTTTTGAGGCCATGTGCAGCGTTATTTTATTATTACATGTTCTTGGTTAAAAAACAACCACATACGATCTTCATCGTCTTGGTTGCTTGGAATTCATCCATGATGGGTCTACAGCTCCCATCTGTGATCTTGTTGCTTCTTTGCATTTGCAGCAATGCATCTCATAACATGCAGGATGTTCTGAGCAGGGACAGCTTCCCAAAAGGATTTGTGTTTGGCGCTGCATCCTCTGCTTATCAGGTGATAAAGAAACTATCCCAGCGAGTGCGATTATTTCAAAGCTATTGCATTGTATTGCTCTGGCAGTATGAAGGTGCAGCTAGAGAAGATGGAAGACAACCCAGCATTTGGGATGTTTACGCGCATATCCCTGGTAAAATCTCGATGATCCCATAGCCATAGCACTCAAGTCTGTGTGATTTATGCAGGCAAGATAGTGGATAAAAGCACAGCAGATGTTGCCAGCGATCAGTACCATCGCTACAAGGTGTGATTGCTTTAAATTCAATTTCCAAAGCCTAGTGCGAGTAATCAGTTCAACCTTGCAGGAAGACATTTCCTTGCTTCATAGCTTGAATGCAGATGCATACAGGCTCTCCATTGCTTGGTCTCGCATGTTTCCTGGTAATTTGTGTTCACACCGATGCCAAAAACTGATATACATGTAAGCTTTGAATTAATCTTGCTTCATAGATGGCACTCAGCACGTCAATCCAAAGGCAATCGCGCACTACAACAACGTTATCGATGCACTCCTTAACAAAGGTTACTCGTGTTTTAGAAGGCAGGCACCTTTTGATTGGATTCATGAGACTGTAGGCTTGAAACCATATGTGACACTCTTCCACTGGGACGTTCCCTACGCGCTGGAAAAATCTTATGGAGGATTCTTGAGCCCCCAAATTGTGTAAGTTCTATGAGCCATGTACAGCAACGCCGTGGAATTAACAGGGTTGACTTTGGAGTTTACGCGGAGGCATGTTTCAAAGCATTTGGCGACCGAGTCAAGGACTGGATCACACTCAACGAGCCCCACGCTTTCGCTTTCTATGGCTATGGTGTCGGTCTGCTTGCTCCCGGAAGATGCTCCCCGGAGATTGGAAACTGTACGGGCGGTGACTCGTCGACGGAGCCGTACGCTGTCACTCACCATTTGCTCCTCGCCCATGCAAAAGCAACAGAGATCTACACCAAACGTTACAAGGTCTGATAAGGAATTCTAATACAAAGGTTCACGAGTGAATTTGCAGGCTAGCCAGAAAGGCACAATTGGTATCACACTCGATTCAAAATGGCTGGAACCCGTGTCTAGCTCCAAGAAAGACAAAGCTGCAGCAGAAAGAGCCATGGAATTCGAACTTGGATGGTAAAATCAACAAGGTATTATCTTTTAACATTTTTACCTTTTAGTATGCTGCATCCTGTCACGTATGGAGAGTACCCACCAGCAATGACCTCCAAAGCAGGAAGCAGGCTGCCAAAGTTCACAGCCGAGCAGAAGAAATGGCTGAAGGGCTCGTGTGATTTCATTGGCATCAATCACTACTTCAGCGTCTACGTAAAAGACAAGCCAAATAACATTCGTGTTAAAGGAGACCTCCTCAGCTCGCCCCAAACAATCTACCAAAATGCTTACTACAAAGATGTTGACTATGCATTTCTAGGTGAGTATTAGTATGATTGATCGGTTAGTATCAACAATTGATATCCCTTTTCAGATAGAAAGAATGGCAAGCTGATAGGGAGGAACGTCAATAGTTTCTTTGTTGTTCCTTTTGGGATCAGGAAGAAGAATAAAAATCTTTGCTGGTACGTACCATTTTCAGTGATATATATAACAGGATTACTTGATGTAGCTCATCAGCTCAAAAGAGCATAATTTGCATCGCAGGGATCAGTGATATTACAAATAGTTCAAATACTTTAGCACAGCAGCTGGATGATCAGACCAGGATCGACTATTTAAAAGCGTACTTAACAAACCTTGTAGGAGCAATACGGTAAGACTAATTGATAATTTGATATCCAGTTTCCAGAGTGATTATCGCAGGGATGGATGCCGTGTCCAAGCATACTTCGTGTGGAGTTTCCTTGACAATTGGGAATGGATATCGGGATTTACTGTGCGCATGGGAATTATTCACATTCAGTATGACAACAATCTAAAGCGCATTCCCAAAAAATCAGCCCACTGGTATGCTAAGTTTCTTAAGAAGAAGCACTAATCACAAGGCTATCACAAATACCCACACTCGTACCTCGAAAAACGTGTATTATTACTAAGATCCAAAGCTTTCATGGAGGAAATAAAGGAGGTCTAGAGGGCACCGGAGACCTTTTAGACAGAATGGTAGTCAATTAGAAGTCAATACAGTCTTTGGACTGATTTGGCATTTTGAGCTCTTGAGCTTTCCTTCACCGGATACAATTCCCTGGGAGCAAGAACTTGAAACGGTGGGCATTCCTAAGCAGGAATGCCGGCAGATGGATAGCAGAGAAGCTCCGGGGTACATCGCCCATCTTGTGGATGAGCTCCCTGTATGAATACTCCTCGGGCAGCATTCCATACAGGTCCCCACCCCGGCACACAATCCCCTGGATCCTTCTCTCCTCCAGAAACTCCGCCCGCTTGACCCGGTCGGCGTGGCTGTAGGACATCATCTTGAAGGCGATGTCCCGGGCCGTGCGGAGGCAAAAGCTACAGTGCCACCCCGACGTGGCCAGCATCGCGTCCGTCCATCGGTGGTGCCCATACTGCTTGTTCCAGCCGTAGACGTGCACGGATGCCCGCCAGCTCCCGGTGTCCACGAGGAAGTCGAACGAGTAGAGGAAGTTTTGGAGCTGCAAGTGAAGGATCGGTGGGGGTCCGTCGCAGCTCCGGAGGAGATCTATGGTGTGGCCACTGGGGATCTCGTCAGTGTCGGACATGATCAAGAGGTCTCCCGGTTGGATCCCGGATTGTTGGATCAAGAGGTTCATGAAGCCCCGCTGCCGCGACTCGTTGTCGAAGGGGTGGGGACTCCGGCCTTTTGGGACGGCGGAATAGCCGAGCTTGTGCTGGGCGAAGGCGAATCGGTCGCTCTTGTTGCGAGCGTCTCTGAAGAACAGAGGCTTTGAATTGCCAGTGAAAGAGCCGTCGGATTCGATCAGCAAGAACTTGGTCACGTACGGATCCAGCTCTCTCCACCTGATCTCCAGGAGATCGATCTCGTTGTTGAAGATCACGGCATCGAAGACGCGCCGGGGAGTTTGCTTGAGAGTCCATCCATGCAAGCCACAGAGCTCTTGCATTGACAGGTTTTGGGCGTAGTAGTGAGTGATCATGTTGAAAGGCTTGGGAGGAGTGTCCCATAACGGCCGGAGAAAGTACGTGACAGAGTGCCAGTTGGAGACAACAACTAGAGAAACCAAAGTGCTTGATGCAACAATCAAACCTGCCAGTAGCAAAACTTTTGATCTCACCATGATCAACATGGTCTCCAGCAAGCTCGAGTGCTCTGGCTGATTCCCCGCTAAGGTCATTCGCTTTTGTCCAAAAAGTCTTCTACTCTTTTAACGTGTACACAAATTGCAAAAAACTCTGTTCATTTGCGAAAAGACTTTCGTGAAATACAATATGATCACACGTTTCTAGCATTTGAGATCGAGACGTAAACGGATGCACACGATGCATGAACTTCAGGCCATGTTGGCAATGAGCTCCCCGGGATCCATTAACCGTGGGATTGATCAAGTAGTCCAGCCCTTTAAGGGAATGTGCTACGAGCATAACGTTCCAACGGTCAAACTGACCATTTTTAGCGCAGGACGTGGCCAGTTTATATGCCCCATTTGGGCAAGCACTGTGATTTCCAGAATCCACGACACTGCATCTCGCGCTGGCATGAAAGAATCCAGGTGTAAGCATCATCCACCTTCCTGACCTCGCGAAGGAGCCTATAATCGTGCTCCACGTCACGGTGGTTCTTTGTGGCATTATCTTGAAGAGTTCTTTTGCCAACTCCAGATGCCCGTTCTGGGCATTAGATGTAAGCATGCAGTTCCAGCACACGGCATCCCGGTCGCCCATTCTCTCAAACATGTCGTGCAAACGGTCGAGATAGCCGGCGCGGGCGTCGTGGTCTATCATTTTCCTCCACGATATGGAATCTGGGCCTTGAGTCGATCAAACAGGTTTCTCGCATCCTCGAGGCGCCCATTCTCGGCAAGCGCCGCGATGGTTACATTCCACGCGCAATGCCTGGGCTTGGCGAGGGCTCTTCGGGGCATTCTCCGGGCTGCCGCATTTGCCATACATGCGGATGAGTTGATCGTTGTCTCGATGCCTTGTTGTAGCGATGTGAGCGTGCCTCTGCCAAATTCTTGGAATCGCTGTAAGATCGGACCAAACGCAGCAAGAAATCATCCGGAGTGCGTCCATACACTTGAACCTCATAAATCATAATAACAGTAAAAACAAACGAAAGATCTTAGATTCAAATCTGAGTTACCTCAGTAGATAAAAAAAATTATTGGCAGAGACCCAACTAAAACTTTTAGTTTTTGAGAGTTTCTGGAATGGGAAAGAGAATGAGAGGGATTGACTTTGTCACTGGTGACATGGGAGTGTTTGCTAGCAGAACTTTTGCATGGAATTGAGTATTGCTCTTCAACTGTCCTGTCAGACTACAAGCATTATCTAGAGATTTCATGCATTTTGCCTGGATTTCTCAGCAAGATGATCTTTGATCCATTCTAACAAAAACTCTTTGCATTTGTCAAGGTTAATCTTCGTCACAGCTTTGAAGTTAAGTACTCAATCACTGGGCACTAGCAGCTGTTTAAGATCCCCAATCTGCAACATCTTTGCTAACAAACACTCCTAAACTCTCATGTGATACTTCTCACCAATGCCTGAATCTCGGGTACTGATCTGTGCTGTGGAGTTTTGCAAGTGAATAAATGCTCATAATCTTTTTCCTTGTTATTGCTAGGAAACTTGGAGCTCTTCCAAAGAACACTTCGCAAGAGATTAGGTGCCTTGATGAGCAACTTCTCTACAGAAATTACTCTGTCCGTGAGCGCCATCGCCGCCAGCCGGAGCTACAAGGGACTCACGGTTTTTCGGACGTTCTCGCCGGATCACTACATCGGGGGGTCGTGGAACACGGGAGGGTCGTGCACGGGGATCACGAAGCCTCTCACGGACAACGAGGTGAAAAGGATTGGCAGTTCTGCGCCATGCCCGCCCAATGAGAGAGACTGCGATTCATGTCAAAATTAGAGATACGTTAAGAAGCTTTGGGAACTTGTTGGATATCTGGCTAGAATAAAGAAAATTGTTGGTAAGGTTCCAGGTTCGAATCCACAGCCAGAGACCCACCTAAAATCTTTTTTTCAGAGCGCAAAGTCGCTACAGATGGAGCTCGAAGTCTCCGGGCCTTGAGTTTTGAAATCGATCTCTATTTCGATCGATCGACCTGGGCCCGGTCCCGGCTTTGTGGAGGAAGCTCTCCTCGCCGCTAGTAATTCGAAGTCAATGATAGTCAACGTTGTCAAGTAAAAGTCATAGTAAACGGTCAAGTTCGTTAGCTCTTTGCTAGGGTTTAAACGGATGTGCTCTCGATCGGTCCTGGTATTCCGTCGCCATGGAGCGGCAGGGCATCGGATGATCTCCACTGCCGCGCAACAGGTCAGGCTCCCTCGATCCTCTCCTCCTGGCGGCGACGAATCCCTGGAGCTAGCACAGAATGTAGTCTTTCCCGAGAGGAAATTTCCCCTCTACAAGCGCCGCGCGACGCCCGAGAGCGATCACTTCGTGAATCTAGGTGCCGCGGTGAAGCAGCTGGATTACATGGTCGACTCCGGCGCCTATACGTGCCTCCTCAAGCGCTGCTGCGGCCCCGCGGCGCTGGAAGATGGGAGGAGAATCCACGAGCACATTGTCAGCCATGGCCGCGGGGACGATGTCTACCTCGGCAATCTCCTCATCCAGATGTATGGGCTGTGCAAGAGCGTGAGGGAGGCGAACAGGGTCTTCCGGCGGATGAAGGAGAAGAATGGCCACACTTGGAGCTTTCTCATCGCGGCAAATGCCGTGAATGGGCATTGTAAGAAGGCGCTGGAGATCTACTACCGGATGCTCCAGCACGGTGTGAGGCCCCAGGAGAGGACTTTCACGACGCTGGTGGCGGTGTGTGGGAGCTTTGACGCTGTTCCGCAGGGAAGGATGATACACTCGCAGATCGAAGAGGTGGGCTATGGTTCCTTGGTGGAGGTGGCGAACTCGCTCGTCAAGATGTATGGAAAGTTTCGGCTGCTGGACACCGCTGTTGTTGTCTTCGAGACCATTCCTTGCAAGAACCTGACGAGCTACTCGGCTATGGTGACGGCCTTTGCGAAGTGTGGGAGGCTGCGTGACGCGATGCGTTGCTTCGACAGTATGTGGAGAGCGGGCTGGGAGCCGAGCTTGATTATCTTCACGACTATCCTCGGGGTTTGTGCGGAGCTTGGAGAGCTCGAGTACGGTCGTGAAGTGCACGGCATGATCGCAGAGGTAGGACTTTGCAACGTTCACAATCTTAAGGTCTCACTGTTTGATATGTATTCAAGGTGCGGGGAGCTTGAGGAAGCGAAGAAGATCTTCGACAGCTTCCAGAGCATTGGGCCGACTTCGGTAAACAAGATGATCGCGGCGCATGCACTCAAAGGCCAGCACAAGCTCGCAGTGGAGGTATTTAATCGCTTCCGTGGTTTCTCGCAAGCAACCGATGTGAATACTTTTATCAGCCTGCTTGGGACGTGTGATAGCGTTACCAAGGCCAAGGAGGTGTACAAGAAACTGCGAGAGAGCGGGCTCAAAGATACACTACGCTTTGAGAACTCACTTATCAGCAGGCTTGGCAGGCTGGGAGCTGTTGCCTACGCACGAAAGCTGCTGGGAAAAATGCCCAAGAGGAACGTTGTTTCGTGGAGCGCCATGATCGCAGCGTATGTACAAAACGGCTACTCTGACGAAGCTCTGGTGGCTCTGCAAGAGATGGATCTGGAAGGCGTCAAGCCGAACAACATCACTTTCACGAGCTTGGTGGATGCCATCGACGACGAGGCAAGCGCGCGAGCTATGCAAAACCGGATTTTTACGTCTGGGGAGGTTGAGGTGGACGACTTCCTCTACAACGCTGTCCTGAGGATGTGCCTGAAGTTCCACTGCATCGACGAGGCAAGAGACATCTTCGAGAGCGCGAAGAACAAGGATGTTGTTACTTGGACAACTATGATAGCCGCAGCCTCGGAAGACGGTCGTAGCCGGGAAGCATTCTCGCTGTTCCGCCGGATGGAACTCGAGGGAGTGAAGCCGACGTCTGTCACGTTCATGAGCCTCCTCGACGCCTGCTCCAGCGCCACTTTGGAAGCTCTCCACGAACGCGTCGTAGCCGAAGGCCACACGCATTCCAGCGCTCTACTTTGCACTGCTCTGGTAAAAGTCTACGGGAAGCACAACCAGCTGGAGAGAGCAAGAGGCCTCTTTGACGAAATGGAGAGCAAAGACGTCGTCTCATGGACATCGATGATACGAGGCTACATCGAGCAGGAACAGGGGAGCAAAGCTCTGTCTTTGTTCCGGCAGATGGAGCTGGAAGGCGTGAAACCGAGCCAGATCACTCTCGTCAGCATGCTCGCCGCTTGCTCGCTGGAGAACTCCCTCCGCGAAGGCAGGAAGATCCAAGCCCAGCTCCTGGCAGCCGGAGGCGAGCACAACCCCGTCGCTGGCAACGAGCTCGTCAACATGTATGGCCAGTGCGGGAGCCTGGACGAGGCGAGAAGCGTCTTTAACTCTCTCCGCGAGCGAGGAGTGGCGGCATGGACGTCGATGATCGCGGCTTACTCCAAGTCCGGCCGCGGCAAAGAGGCCGTGAAGATGCTGAGATACATGGGAATGGAGGGCGTCAAACCAAACAGGATGACGCTCTCGACGCTCCTCTCGGCTTGCGGACACTCAGGCCTCGCAAACGATGCTTGGGAGTGTTTCATCTTTGTCGAAAAGGAGTGTGGAGTGACGCTAACTTCCGAGCAGTATGGCTCCATGATCGACGTCCTGGGACGAGCCGGAGAGATGGATCAAGCTCGAGTTCTTCTCAACAACATGCCTTGCAAGGCCGACGCGAAGATCTGGACGAATTTTTTGGGAGCTTGCCGGATCCACAAAAACTTGGAGCTGGGAGCTCAAGCCGCGGAAGCGCTGATGAGGATAGAGCCCGGGAATCCCAGTCCGTACGTGCTTCTAGCGAGGATGTACGGCGAGGCTGGGAATAGAGACAAGGAAGTGGAGGTGCTGGCCACAATGGAGTATCGTGGGATAATTCCCTCCAAGGGTGTAAAGTAAGATTAGTGTTTTTACTGCTAAGGGTGTAAAAGGGAGGTCTTTGTTTCGCAATTTAGGGCTCTTGAGCGCAAGCTCGTTCATTCTCCCGCAGCGGCATTGGATTTGATGCAGCGCCTGGAGAAGAAGGTAATCTCTTGCGTCGATCGAGGATTTCGTGGTTCTGCTCGAGGATTGAGGTAGATTTTGAGACATTCTCAGCTGGAGCGCTTCGTCTAGACGATCCGGATTGCTTGGTTTGAGAGATAGTAGAATAGATTTCGCGTTACTGCTTCCATTGATCTATTATATCGTTTTTAGATTGAGTGATGGCGAACGAAAGGCCTGGAGCATTTCGAGCCTTTCTTCGAGCGAGCCGGAGGTGGTTCCTGGACGAGAGCAACGATGACGAGGAGGAGACCGAGGCCCAGGCAAGAAGTCAAGGGCCTTTGCAAAACGTGCTCTCCCAGGAGATAAACATGGCCACATCCGCCAGCGATGAGACTTTGAAGCGAGCTCGAGCAAAAAATGGTAGAACAGTCAACACGGTGTCCATGCTCGCGGGGAGAGAGATCAACTCTTCGAAGAATGGGAAGTTCTCTCGTGCCGAGGCGTGTCACGTCTCTTCGAGGATTTTGCCGGACAAGGGACCCGAGATACTGGAGCGAAAGAGCAGTCGGCTTTACATCAGCCAGTTCTCCAACGATGGATCGCTTTTCATTGCTGGCTTTCAGGTGAGCGAGGCTCTTTTTTCGTTCTTTTTTTTGTTTCTTTTGGATTGCAGCTCGGTTTTGATTTCTGCCAGTGATTGTTTTCTTGTTTCCAGGACCGGACAATTGTGGTCTATGATGCTGATAACAACTGGACTATCCACAAGAGAGTGAAAGCTCGTAACATGAATTGGACAATCACTGACACGGCTCTCTCCCCGGACCAACGATTCCTGGTCTGTGTTGTTCACTCCTTCACTAGAACTCTATCACTGTCCTCTTACAGGTCTATGCGTCTATAACTCCTGTTGTGTTCCTTGTGAATCTTGGAAACGAAACTGGTGGAATAGATTCTCTGGCGAACGTGACTGTAAGTTTTTATTCTTTCTTTGTTTTCAATATGTGACCATGGTGTTTGCTTAACCAGGATATCCACGAAGGGCTTTCGCTCAGCTCATACGATGACGACGGGGATTTTGGAATTTGGTCACTGAAATTCTCGCAGGATGGGAATGAGATCGTGGCCGGCAGTAACGACAACTGTATCTACGTCTACGACTTGAACGCCGCGACTACAACGTATCGGGTTTCGGCGCACAACGTAAGTGAAAGAAAAGTTGGAAAGCAACGAGTATTAGTGATCGGCTTTTACAGGACGAAGTGAATACGGTTGCGTTTGCGGATGAGAGTAGCCACCTTATCTATTCGGGAAGTGATGACTACCTTTGCAAGGTGATTTTTTTCCTTCAAACTCGAAGCCACTTACTCTGTGTTTCCAGGTATGGGATAGAAGATGCTTCTCAGCAAACAACAAACCCGCCGGAGAGCTCGTTGGCCATCTCGGGGGAGTGACTTCCATAGACAGCCGAGGAGACGGGCGGCATTTCATTTCCAACAGCAAGGACCAGTCGATAAAGCTTTGGGACATACGCACAATGTCCAGTGGATCCAAGTACGTGAAACACAGTTTTTTCCATTCCTGTATTTGCAGCTCGGCTTTCGCTGGATGCCAGGAAAAGTTTCGAACGCGCGCAGGTCCCGAGAATCCGGTGGGATTACAGATGCATGAGAGTCCCTCCTCGCCTGCGCACTGTGGCGCATCCGGGCGATGAGTCGCTCATGACATACAAGGGACACGAGGTTCTCCAGACATTGATCCGGTGCTACTTCTCTCCTCGCATCAGGTAAACAAGTGTGAGAAGTTCTTTCTCAATGCCTGGACTTGTTCTTCCAGCACGGGCCAGAAGTATATCTACACCGGCTCTTACGACGGCACCGTCCATATCTACGATGTGGTGAGCAGAAACTCTTCTTCGTTTCGTCTCTAAAGGTTTGATTTTTCTTTCTTTCTAGGTGACCGGGCACACAGCCGCGACTCTATCGTTCCACAACCATCCCGTGAGAGATTGTAGCTGGCATCCATGGCAACCAGTATTGGTAAGCTCCTGCTGGGGTGGAAACCTGGTAAAGTGGGATCACGACCCCAGATCGATGGATTTCTAGAAAAGAAAAACAGGAAGGAAAAACGAAAGCGTGTAAATTACTGGCAAGGATCTTTGCTCCGAGTCTCGGCTGGAAGGACTAATAAGTAAAATTGGCCTGGAAGCCGCGACCATAGAATTTTGGAGCGTATCGAATAAACAGCCAGATAAACATTCTTGCCACTTAAAACTGGGAAAGCTCTCAAGCAAGATCCTGAAATTCCTCGGTTTCTTGGGTTTTAGGCGTTCTTCTTGCTATAGTGATTGATTGATTGTTTGAATGAGAGCGATGGTCTAGCATAGACGATGATTCCCCTGTTTCCAGTTCTTCCTCCCGACAATCATTGCTTTGATTTGTCGTTGTTTCGCGACAAATCAAACGTTTTCTCCTCCCGGTCGATCAGGCAACGAGCAATTCCATCCATTTCACACGAATTTGTCTTTGGAATCGAGTCCCAAAACAGAGCATCTTCGTTTTTAAAATTTAGGGCTCCTCGCTTTAAGTTTGGCGACCAAATGTTCTCTCCCCGTTAACCAAGAAGACACGCATTGCTCGCACGCTGATAGGTTTTTGCGATATCTCTGCGTGGAGAGAAAGAAAGGGGCGATCCCCTCGACTGGTAAGCTCGACATCCATTTCGTTTGTCTCGTTTTTGGACTGTTTGCTCGGATTCTCAAACAGATGGAGCGATTGATTCCATTGCTTCTTCTTTGTCTCCTCATCGGCAATGTAGCATCGATGAAGAAACCCGGAGAGGTAAGGTTTTCTATTCTCTTTGATCCTCTCCTTTTCCTCGCGAAGTTTCTCGACTTAGATCATCAATGATTCTTCGAGTTCTAGCTCAAGAAGATCTCCTTTTGCGAACAACGATCAAGAGTCTCGCTGTCAAGGATCGCTGTAAGATCCATGCCTAGTTAAGAGCATGCCTTGATTTCGCTGCTCGCAGCGTGCATTTATTTTCACGAGCGAGAGAGAGAGAGTGATTGAAAACATTGACGACGACTGCTCTTTGAGAGAAACCACTCCCTGGATCATGTGTTTTTGTGCCAGCATTGATTCTCATTGACAGAAAGAAAAGAGTAAAAACTCTCACGAGAAAATCCAATGGAAATGCCGGTTGACGAGAGCGTAGCGAAGAACCATTTGCTGCTTTGCTTGATTATCTTTCACTCGACCTCAGTTTGCTTTTGAAAACTCGCAGATTGTGGAGGACGAGGAGCTCCTGGACGATGAATTCGATAGCAGCGAGAGGCAAGACTATCAGCAAGTCGATCCAAAGCCAAAGCTCCAGTCTCCAGTCCAGCCAGGCCCGGTGGAGCATCTCAAGCCTCTTCCACCATTCGGCTCGTCCTCGCATGCAGCTCCTCCATCTCCACCACCTCGATCGCCGCCACCTCCCACCGCCGCCGCTCCGCCACCATCGCCACCGTCCAAGCCCGACAATCCCACTGTTCCAATCTCCACTGGCTCTTCTTCATCGTTTCCTCCGTCGCCTTCTGGAGGCTCGACGATTATCACTCCGCCACCTTGAGAATTCTCTGTATTTTTCTCGAAGTGTTCTAATAACATAGCACCTAGAATATATAGAGAGGAAAAAAATGGTATACTCTATATGCTCCACAGGAGCAGCGCCAGTGCACCAAAGACGAGATTTTTGGCGTGGAATTGCAGTTGTGATCCTGCGCATGACGAGGAAAAATTGGTTTTCTTCTCGTTTGGAGAAATAGAAAACTCACCAGCGTTTGTATCTGACAAAGTGGAGGAGCTGTTGCTGCCTGGCGATGAAGGTGAGGAACTCGGGCCGAGGTTTATTCCAAGCTGGTTGCAATCAGCACCAATGCTACCTAAATCGAAAAGAAAAATCGATTTTTCTTTGTTCAAGGACGGCATCTATAGAAAACTTACAATCCGCAACGCAAATTCCAGACGGTGAGTTGAGGAGATTTCCGTAGCCTTCATAGCACCGGCATGTATAACTATTGTTGCCGTTTTGCTTGATGCAATCGCCTTCACCGCATACCTTGTACGAGCAAGCTGGAAAAAAGAAAAAAGTATGAAAAGTGAGCAAAACCGAAGAAAAAAGGAGTTTTTTTTTCTTACGATTGAAGATGTCGAAGCTCGGTGAATTATCATGTGAGGCATCATCTGCTTTGTTAGTCTTGGCACAACTCATATTGAAATCACCTGCGAGAGAGAAGAAGCAAATCTGAGAAGAACTTGGATGAAATCCAAAACTGGGAGTGAAAATGCTTGCTTACACTTCGGGATGGCGCAGCTCAACGCAGACATTCCCAGGATATTGGACCATCCATCCTTGCACACGCACTTCACAGGTGGGAATCCACTCACTTCCACACAGTCCCCTTGGATGCAATTGTAATCGTCACAAGCTCCACCATCTACAAATCACATAAGATCATGAGCACAAAAAAAAAGACACCAAGCGAAATCATACCAGCGAGAAGTGGTGCCCATAGAAATCCAAGAGCCACGATCGCCACGAAGCCCACATACTTGAGCGCCATAGCTGCTTTAAACGAAGAAAAAACTACACTCGCAGTGGAAAAAGAGTGACTTTTTATACAAATGCGAAGGACAGTGGAGTCTCCAGCGCAAATCGGGCCCTGCGGAGAACTTTGAAAGCGACCCACCGGAGAAAAACTTGGTTCTTTTCAAGCCCAGCTTCTTCTTTCTCGTGGAAACCTATCGATCAAGCAGCAGCCGGGATCATCAAAGACGCGCACCCGAAACAAACTCTCGGAATTTAGCAAAGAGGAGCACACGCACTCGCTCGCGTGTTGATTCATCACTCGCGCTGACATAAATCCGCCCACTGCTGATGTTAACAACAACGCGACGCGGATCAAAGACAAACTCCCAGCCCCGCCACGTCACTTGGCCGCCACCGACGTGGACAATCCCACGGCCCAGATCCTGCTACGTACCCCCACCGTGGCGCGCAACCGTTGGCTTGAATTCTACCGCGCTACACGGTGTTTGGTGCGCTGCCATGAATGCGTGTCCAAAGTCAGCACCGTGGATTGACATGGCAGCATCATCACCGTCCAGTCCCCACATGAGACAGCGATGTGCTTATTTGCTAGGCAGTGAGGAATTTTTTTTGCTATTGTCCCAATTTCATAAGAACAATTGAAATGTGTTTAAGGAACAATATCGTTATTATTACATGTTTAAGATCATTAATATTGACGAAAGATTGATTAGTTCTTGGAACACGATTGAAATGGAACAATATTATTGGGAGCATTAGGAGTCGTATAAAATCGAGCCACCGAGATAGGATAAGATGGAAAGAGTACAAATAATCGAGAGATTGGTAGAAGATAAGACGATATATCGAAGATGGTCATCACTGGAGCTCTTGAGCCAAAACCTCCATGAGCGAAGCCACAAACTGCATTTGGACGTCCTCTTCAATTCTAGAGAACAATGGCACATGTACAAATATACACACAGTCCCGTTGGCGCGAGCGTGCCGCAGCGACTGGTAGTAAACGTAGTTGCACACGAATCGCCCTGCGTCGTCCGACAGCGTCACCTCGAAGCCTTTGGACGCGAGGCAGCGGACGATCTCGGCCGCTGGCAGCGTCGTCTGTGCCAAGAACAGTTTCGGGAGTGGAAACATCGTCACGCAAACGCGAGCAAAAACCGGAAACAATCTAAACTTCGTACCTCGCGGGTTGCCGAAAGAGGCCCGTCCTCCGGCGCAATCTGGAGTCTCTGGAACCAGCAAAAGTTTGTAATGCGCTCAAGTTTTGTATGGACGAAAGAACAAGCGAAAAGAATAGAACCTGCGGCTGCCATCCCATTTCATCCGGGCAACGGAATGTAGCTTCGTTGACGGCGCGGCGCTCAATCGCAAATCTCGAAGCTCCACTGTTCACGCCGAAGTGTATCTTCACGAAAGGTAAAAGAACAAAACTATCAGCATACACCGCTTGGATAAATACAAAGGCCACACAAAGTAAAAACAAAGAAAAGAGAGAACTGAGAGAACGTACCCAGAGGACTCGACCAGACGATGGATCTGGCTGCTCGATGAAACTCCCGAGCTTTCTATGAGCCGAGGACGACGGTGGCGATATCGCAGCATCCAGCAGATCCATAAGAGTCGGGAGAGCACCCTCTCCTGCCGTCTCCAGGACCGTAGCGCTCTCCAGAGTGAATCCCTGCGGGAGGCCGCCATCCTTGAAGTAGCTCGACAGCCTGCCGACTATAACTTCGGTTGGATTCTTGGCCACTCCATGGAACTTCTTGAATCCAGTGACGTGAATTCTGGTGACGGGAACTCCCTCCGACCCCATTACTTCCTCCAAGCGCTAAAAGACCTGTAACAGTAGCTCCACTTTGATCAGAGCTCCATGCCTTGACCGCTTCCAAAAAGAGGGCAAGCCTCGGAGCCAAAAGTACCAGAGTTAACGGTTGTCACAAGTATGACCGAGCCATCTCCGAATCTGATTCTCTTCCGCTCTGCCTCTTTGGAGCAAGCTTCCAATCCGAGAATAAGCTCCAGCCGCAGCAATCACAGGGAATCTGTAGTAGCCGTGTCGATCATGATCGAAGCACTGTAGCCTGCTTTCCTTTCCTTTTTTATTTCGGCCTTCTTTTTGTGCAGGGGGGACCCCCACTGCCACGCCCGAGTACAGGATTCGCAATATGTCACCTCGTTCCGCACCTACTGTAGAAGAGTTGGCTGCCCTTTTAAAAGTCTCGCTCTCTCCTTCTACACGACTGAGAATGATTGAGGCATAAAAACTGCGGCCCGAACAAAAGCCTGAACAAAAGCCTGCAACCCCGCAATGGTGATGAATGAAGCCGCAAAACACTGACCCGTCATAGTTGCTCCCAGAACATACTCATTCCTTCACCACCAAGTGCTAAATGTGTGAAATGCTCCTGCACGAACATTGGGAGGTGAGTTTCACCACGTAAACTATGATTCGCTGCTCAAGTGAAATCCCACAAAGCAAAAAAGAAGTCCAGCTCCATGCAGCTCAAGAATCTTAAATCTCGTCCTTGGCGTACGAAAGTGACCCACACCGATCTAGATCAAATCAGACTCTATCTAGTAGAGACCGCACTTGGGCAGCAAAAACGAAAAAAAGAAAAAAAAAAAGAAATCGAGAGAGCGAGAGAACTTATCATGGACGGAAAGAACTTTCCTCGCTAAGCTAGCTTCGAAAAAGAAAGGAAGTGGAGTCTCTCAGCTCCGACAAAAAACCAGAAAAGAAAACAAAAAAGCTTTGCTCAAAGAGGACGTCACTGGACACACACATGCGCTGCCACGAGAGAGCATACAAAAACGAAAGCTCCATAATGCGCCTTTCGGCGAGAGGAGGGCGAAAAAAAGAGAAGAATGCGCGATGCGCGATGATGCTCTCCCAATCAAGCCAAGAATCAAATCCTACGTACCTCGAGACCGGTAGCGCGATCAAATCATCGACCCAAGCTCGAGAATCACCCTCGCATTCGCGGGGCGCGCCCTCGCAACGGCAAAAATCCACACTTGCCCTAAAACACAAGGCATATTCTCTGGACCCAGAGCATATTCCGTCTAGGTAGGCATATTCTCAAACATTCATTAGAATATTCCATTCTTGGAATATTCGAATTGTTTTAGAGCTCACTCTAGTTCTTCGTTACCAGACGCAGCTGCCCCTGCTGGATATCCTTGAAGATGTTAAACGCGGCAGTCCCTGCGAGCGAGCCGTCCACCACCAAGTCATGGCCGCTCACAAACCTCGACTCATCGCTGGCGAGGAAGAGCGCGGCCTCTGCGATCTCCTCCGGCTCCATCAAGGCCCGCCGGAGATCAAACCCGGGCTTCCCTGAAAACGCCGCTTGCATGTCAAGCTTGGCCTCCGCAACCGGCACCAAGTTCTCCCAAAACTTCGTCGCGATTTCGGTCACCACCGCGGCCGGAGAGATGCAGTTCACTCGGACCCCGTGAAAGGCCAGCTCCGAGGCCGCCGACTTTGTGATGCCAACCACGGCGTGCTTGCTGATGGTGTAGGGGTGGAGCGCGCTGCCGGAGATGATGTGAGCGATGCTGGCCGTGGTGATGATCGAGCCCGAGTTGCGAGGGACCATGACTCTGGCCGCGTGCTTCACCCCGTGAGCGACGCCTCTCACGTTGACAGCGAGCACGGCGTCGAGGTCGGACATGTCGAGACGGGCGATGGAGTCGGCCGGCTTGGGGCCCGAGATGATCCCGGCGTTGTTGAACATGATGCCGAGCGAGCCAAACTTTGAGACGGCCAGGTCCACTGCTGCTGCCACCTGAGACTCCTGAGAAACGTCGCAGTGTGTGTAGTGAGCGCCCGTCTCGGCCGCCAGCGCCTCGCCGCGGCTGTCTTGGACGTCGGCAATGATAACTTCCGCTCCATGAGCTCTGAATTTCTTGACCGTGGCTGCGCCGATACCCGAAGCACCACCGGTGACGAGTGCCACTTTCCCTTTGATCCTGGAAATGCTATTACGTTAGAAAGCATAAGAGGAGAAGAAACTAGTAAATGTAACCTGGAAAGCATTGTTGGGATCTTGCAACACGAGTAGCAAGGCAGCACTGCTCAAGTATTAAAGCCTGTTGCAACGAGACAAAGTCAAAGTCAGACCGCTCGAGGCCTGGACCTCTCGTGCGTCGGTACCCTCAGAGCTCTTAGTTGATTCACTTATCTGCCCGAGGTCCGTTGATTCACTCTTTGGGCCGTCGGCGGCAATCTTTCGGAAGGACCCAGCGTCAGTGCCACCCCCGTTTCGTTCTCGATCTGTCTCTTAAGCTGCTGGAGGATTCTGATCTGATTAAGCTTCTCGGGGGATAGTCTGTCCCAGTAGATTCCTACACACAGCAGACAAACTGCATCGATCTTTTAACATGCACCAAACTTTCTCACCTGTAGGCTTTGGAATGGTTGTGTTTGTAAATATAACTTGCGTAGGGGTGCAAATTACATCCACTGGGACGTCGTGTATAAGCAGCTTGTCCGCTTGAATCTCGTCAACGAGTTGCTTGTCATGCACTGCTAGAAACAGTGAGAAAAGATTGACAGCAGGACATTGGTGCGTCTACCTGTGGTAACAATCAAAGTTGAATCGTCTATCGCTCCCATAAACCGGAGCATCCCATATTCCAACTCCGCGAATCCCTTACAAGACAAGCAAGAAACGTTGATATGTGTTAGACAAAAGACATTGGAGACATACCTCGCCTTTACCAAGACGAGCACCAGTTTTTGGATCCACAGCAACGGAGCCGATCACAATGAGATCCACTTTGAGCTTCGCATCAAGCCCCAACGGCTTCCCAAACTTCCGAAAGCCTACACACAGTTGAGTAGCGCGCAAATGCATACTTATATTGAGCGGGCTACCTGTTTGTGTGACAGCCTCCCTCATGTCTCTATCGTTCATACTTACTGGATCCAGCATGGAGAAGAAACCAGTTCTAAGGCGTGGTTGCGGTACGAGCAACTTTTTCATGCCTGTCAGAGATAGATTACGATTTTGAGTATACATAAGGCGAAAGTCATCAATCATACCTCTCAGAGTCATGTATCGCACTGGTTTTTGTGGCGTGTCCGGATTCACCTTGACACACTTCGCATCTTCAAAGACTGGCATCTTCCGCAGCTGATTTAGAAATGGGAAAGTAGAAAAAGTCGGCAATCCGAAATACAAAAAAAGAAAAGATAAAGACTTTTACCTTGTCTGCCGCAAGCTCAGCCCCTTGAAAATTTGGAATCCTGTGATGAACTGGTCTTGGCATCCTTGCAATGTCTTCGGCTTCCAGCAAATCCCACACCCGCTTCCTTATCTGCCATTTCCATGCGCCAGGCCTGTCGTCAGCCTGGCTCTGTTCAGCCACGACTTTCATGGCCTCTCGTGCCTCGGAATCCAGTCTCTTGCGCTCGGCCTCGGCTTGAGCGTCCACATCGGAGGCTGAATCCGAACGAAGTCTAGCTCGACTCCTCGAGGCTGGCTTAGAAACTACCCACGCTTGACGAATTCTTGAACCCAAATTCATTACCCGAGGATAGAAAATGCTGCTCGGAGCCCCTTTCAACGTAGCATCCATTGCGTTTTGTACAGCCCTACCGTGGAAGCAAAAAAGAATGGTTTCCAAGTCCCAGAAATCTTACCTCGATTACGTGTGCTCTTTACAAGGTTGAACGCTAGTACTAGGATATTCACATACTTTGTGTAGTCTACACACCAAACGGATTCGGTGGTGGAGATGCTGCTGGTGCTCCACCAGGCAAAACTTGTACATGTTCCAAAAACACTTCCCTGCGAACAAAAAAACTTTCAACCTTTAGAAGAAAATGACTGAAGAGCTTACTTGTATAGAGCAGATGCAGCTGCTGCTCCAAAGCAAGGTCCAAACCAATAAATCCAAAACGAAGCCGACCATGCACCCGAAACCACAGCTGGTCCAAAACTTCTGGCGGGGTTCATTGATGCACCCGTGAATGGAACTCCAACCAGGTGATCCACTAGAACAGCAAAACCAATCGGCAAAGGAGCAATCACACCTGCATGAAACTAAACCTTGGTAAGAATAATCAAACATGCACAATGTCAAGTGATTACCAGGTCCTCGTCGATCCACAGCCACTCCAAAAATGACAAAGACAAGCACAAAAGTTAGCATGAACTCCATGATAAATCCTTGGCCCGGATAAACACCGTTGGAGAGATCATGAGCTCCGAGAGCGCCGACCCAAGGCCCCGGCGTGGACCATCTCAGGATTGCTGCTCCCATTATCGCTCCAAAAAGCTGTATAGAAACACCACTTTAGATGGAGAAGCAAAGCCGTATAGATCATGCACACCTGAGCACCAACATATAATCCGGCTCGAAGAAGTGTTTCTTTGCCAGCAACCACGAACGCCAAAGTCACTGCTGGATTTAAGTGACCACCTGATATAGCTCCCGTGGCACCGGCTAGAAAAGCAATCGCAAGACCGTGTCCCAAAGCTATGGCTACCAGCCGTGCAGCGGTCATTCCCGGACCAAGCATTCCTGCAATGTATTTCTCCACGTAAAGCAAAAATCAGCACCTCGACAAGGAAAACCAAAAGACAAAAGAGTCTAGAATGGAGCCAGAGCTCCTAGATATGGAAGAACTTCGATACCTGAAGCAATGACTGAGCCACAGCCAAGGTAGACGAAGAGTAAAGTTCCAAGGAACTCGGCACCGGCTGCCCGCCATTGCTCCTTGGATCGCAGTGTCTTGTGATCGCCAAGCTCCACCTAAATCACGCACACACCCATCGATCACAGGACCCTAGAAGAGGAGAGACCCATTCATTACCTTCATGAAGTTGAGCATGGAGACCATCTTGAGCGCTCCCTCCACCATATGCTGAACGTGCAAATGCTCATGCGGATTTTGGGGATGAGCGCCGCCAGGCCTCGAAGCCGCCGGTGCCGCCGAGGAAGAAGAAGGAATCGAAGAAGGCACCATCATCGGCCCTCCCATAACACCGCCGCCGCCACCGCCGCCGCCAGGGCCGCTGCCAAGACTCCCTCTCATTCCTCCCATGCCGCCCATTCCTCCCATTCCTTGCATGCCATGGATATTTTGCATCCCTCCCATGCCTGGCATGCCGCCCATACCTCCTCCTCCTCGCGGCGGCATTCCCCCCATTTGCATCCCGCCGCCATAGCTGCCGGCGAAGAAATCTTGATCCGATGACTGCCCCGCGTCTTGGTAATCTAGCTGACCGTATGCGTTCTTGAATCGCGGATCCATCATCGAAATCTCCCCCCGGCCGCTCACGACTGCGTGGATTCGCGCTCGCGTCTACAACGCCACTGCTCCGGCGAGGATCGCCGCCGTGCACACCGCTGCTTCATGGGCATTCGAGAGAAAACCCTGCTCGGCGCCAAAATCTTTCGGATTTCAAACGACCTATCCAGTCAGCCCTAAACCCAAAAGGGTTTGTGAATTTCAAATTTAATTTGTAAGTAATTTCTGTTTGGCACCATTGCAAAATTGATGTTTAGAGCACAAAGAAGCCTACCAATACAGTTTACATACATATTATAAGTATTTTATTTCCTTTATTCTTAAAAATTATTTACTTGAGAATACTATCATTTTCTCTTTTATCTTATACCAACTTAGGCATTAAATTCAACTTATTATATCATATAACATTTTAAAGAGTTTTTGTCTTTTAGATTTAGTGTTATTAATTTTAGTGTTCTTCCCAAATTGATTGCATCTACTGATTATTTAACTTTTTAATAAATAGAGTTTATCTTAAGTTTTTTAATAGTTTATTTCTACTTTTTTATTAAATTATTTAAGTGTTATCACCTTTCAGATGTATTAGAGTTATTTATAATCCTATCATTTGTCTATATTACTATTTTTTTTGTTTTTATTTCTTCACTTAAAGAAATAGTTTTTATATGATTTTGTGCCTATATATAAAAATAGATCTTTTATTCTTTCCACCAAAACTAGAGCAGCTTTTTATTAATTTTTTAAAATTCTAACATTTCTAGCCACTAGATTATGCAAGAAAAAAATGTTATTAATTAAAATATTAAGCTTGACTTAAAACTTTTTTGCCAAAAATAAGCCAAAAAAATGTTAGAGAAAGTCTAAATGATATGATAATTAAGAAACCATAAAATTTTAGGTGCCAATAAATATATTAGAAATGAAAAACAAAGTTTTAATACTCGAAAAACAACTTTGCCCATAAAACATATTTTGAAAATATTTATACTTAAATTTTTTATTTTAGAATATCTAAAATAAAAGAGCTCTATATAATATACTTATCTTTTCCGAGAAATTCGTCTACTCTCTGAACAAATCTAAGTACCTCTCATGGCTTAGCAAATGATGCTAATAGTTGAAAAAAATGAATAAACGCCATGGTATGATCACGTATATTAAATATATAAGGAAGAATCTCCCAGTGTGCACATTTTCATTATAAAATGAATAAATTTGCTTAAATGTGAGAAAAAAACAATAATGCCCATACTACAACCTCCCTTACCCACTTAAGGTTGTTTGATATTTTTTTCCATAACTGAGAAGCCTCGTTGTTTGTTTTGAGTAAAAGTTCTTCAACCTGATCAGGGATCACATAATATATCTATATAGTTCATTTAATATCTATATAATTATTTAATATCATAAAATAAATAATTAATTAATACTTTTTATAAAATTAGAAATTAATATATAAGAATTAATTTTAGCAAAAAACAAATTCAATAGAAATTTCAACTAGATAAATATTTTATACCATTGTATGAAATTTAAAGATTTTAAATGTATACAGAAAAAAAAATGCTCTTGAAAAAAATTTAGAATATAGCTTTGACTCATAGTTAATAATGAGAATATTTAAGAAATCACTTCAAAAGAGAATAAATAAAAAACCATTAAAAATTTAAAATTAATATAAATTTTTTAATTTCTAGATACTATGTTTAATCTAACTTAAAGTGATCTTTATCAATTTTAATATTCTTATTTATAACTTCTGTATTGTTGAGAAGTCTTTATTGTTTTAGTTAAGACCAATTAGTCTAAACAATATTAATAACACCAATTATGTTAATGTCGTTATTCAGTCATTTATGAAGGTACCACCAAGTACACAAAAATATTTATAAATATGGATCCACAAAATATTTTGATGTATATACATACATACATACATACATACATACATACATATATATATATATATATATATATATATATATATAGGTAAGCTTGTAAAACATCTGATACAGTGGTATATAATTGTGAATAAGTTGTATATTTTTCATTATTTGGTTTGAAACTTCCCATATATCTTAAAATAATTAGGGCCACCTACTGCAATCTCTTCAATATTTGCACCCATTGATGCAAATTCTAAGCACTACTATAATTTTGTATTAAATCTTTAAAATTAATACTCTTTGGATAAAGCATGGAAAATGATGTGATTTTACAGTTGCTATTCTCTCATCACAACAAACAATTGAAAACACTTTCCATCATTAAAAAAGGGCCTTACAATGTATGTATTATTTTTCCATCTTACCAAGAATGTTGCTCACATTTACCATTTTCATTCTCTGACATTAAACCCATGTTGTTTTTTTGTTTTTTTGTTTTTTTGTTGTTTTTTTTTGTCTCCCTGCCCTACTAGAAATCATATGACAGAAATTGCCAATAGTAGACAGACTATAACAGATTTCACATATTCTACAGTTATTTTTTTTTCTCACATTAGTTTTCAAACAAATCCCCACAGAGGTATATATTCTTCTTTATTACAAGTAGCATCTTCTACAATCACATCACCTTCTAAAATGATATCCACATTTTTTTACTTTCTCTTGCGACCCATTCTCAGTAGGGTATTCCAAATTTATATTTCTATTGTTCATAAGCAAGTGCAAGTTCTCTAGATTTCAGTAAAGTAGAATATCATAGATTGGTGATAGATCTGTTTTAGATCATAGATGTTTCTTATTGGTAAGAGGTTTTTTCTTTGTATTCCAGCAAACATAACAATAGCAAGAATAGAGATTCCTTGAATTTGCTCTTCTTGCATGTTTCTTGATGCAAAATCCACAATGAATGTTCTAGTGTTCTTAAGACATTTTTTTTTCGTATCTTTACAAGAATAAACAAACACTAAACTGTACATATCTAGTTACATGATTGGTTTACCTTCCCGGGAGTGATGGCCACCAGGATTACACATTTTCTAATTGCACCATAACCACAGCATAGTTCTCGAACCTGGCAGTCTCGCCCAGACATTTTACATGATATTGCCCATACTGGACATAAGCCGAAAGCAAGCAATTCATGCACCCGTCCCAATCGAGCATCATACAAGATTATGAGAACTTTATTATATACAAGAAAGAACTTGCTGTGGAGTCCATGAATTTGAAAAGGGAGAGGTTGCTGGCTGATGATAGCATGAATCCGCTCACCAAGTCTCGGTGCTTGATGTGGCCAAGAACTGCAAGTTCCATCTCAAACTCGTGTATGTTTTGTCAGTGGTGATTTTAAAGCCACTTGGTCGCTGCTTTCTTGTGGTAATTCAGGTGGGAGCAATGATCAACCACCAAGTTGAGCATCATCTTTCTCACTGGTCCTCTAAAGCTTCAACAAGCTGTTTAGAGCTGTGGATTACACTGAAGGCTCATTACATGCGTGTTATGGTATATTGCAATCCCAACATTGTGGAATTAATCAATGGAAGAACCAACTATATCATTTGTTTTTTGACTACATTATGAAATTTTTAGTGGTGAATCCTCCTATCACTCTAAAGTCTTGATGCTGATGCTTGTGGTTTAGGCTGCATGTCCCTCCCTTTGGAATTCCATATCCTCTAAAATATCAACACTTTATGGGATCATAGTTACTAAGGTTTCTCCCACCAGTCCTATCTCACCATCTATAATAATTTTGTCCACCTTGCCACACCTTTCAAACCACATTTCGATGTTTCCACCCTTTCCAATATAGAACAGATTTGAGTGGGGATGTTTGTTCCTGGTGATGCCACTGGACTTATAGCAGGTGAAGAGCAAGAATCTGCCCACTATGAAGCACGAGACCAATGGATGCAAAGAATGCAAAGTGGATCAGTGTTTGAGCGTTGACTTTCTCCCAGGTTCTGCTATGCGGTTGATCCCGCTTCTTGCTGCCCTCTGTCGGTGCCTTGACATCTGCTCGTAAGGAGAAACTTATGAGAAGAATTTGCCACAATCTCCAACACCAAGCCTGAAACTGAGTAGCAATGTCAAATCGAGTTTTATCACCACTGAGTTGCTGCTGCTTGCTTGGAAGAATCACACTAGGCAATTGCCATCAAACCTCTCTAGTATTAAAGAATTCACAACTTGGAGAGATGATTCAATACTCATTCTCATCCAAACCGCGAGGTTTTGCCGGAGGAGCTCCATGATCCGGCTGATTTCCTTCCCCCGATGCAACTTTGGCCTGTGCCTCGTCAATAGCCTGAGAAAACAATGCAAGAGGCTTAGCACAAGAAACAACGTAAGCACGCATACCTTCTGTGCCACAAAACAAGCCCAATCCAGAGAGTTTAGATGCTCGAAGCAAAACGCCGACAAGTCCAGTCGGAAGGGGTGAGTCGGAGGAAGCTCCGCAAAAGCATGCTCCCGTCGTATGTTGAGCCAAAAAATTGCAACGAGGACACCATCAAGGCCTTTCTTGCTCTCGTTGACACACACCTCATGTCGACGTCCTCAACCGGCGAGTCGTTGGTCTTGTATCTCAAGATGACGGCCGACTACAATCGCTACCTCGCCGATTTGAAGACCTGCCAACAACGCCAAGAGGCCGAACAAGCCACCCTCATGGCCTTCCAGATCGCCCAGGTATTTTTCATTTTATGGTTTTCATAGCTCTTTTCTTTTGGTTTTGACAACATCTGGTTTTGAATGTGTCAGCAACCCACTTCTCGCTCTCCCTGCCGCCATGCACTTCAGCAAATACCGCTCGTCTTTCTCCAACCTGGAGATCTCTTTCAGAGATTGTTAAGATACGGGCAGCTTTGATGGCGCTTGTCAAAAATGCTCTCAATTCTGGTGCTTGGGACATATCCTTCTTTCACCATCTCACCAGCAAGCTCTGCTATGTATTTCCCCTTTGCGACCAGCCATCCTATACAGTCCCAAGCGATTCAGGCCATCACTCATGTCACCCCTCTTGACTCTTCTTTAAGAAAAGCCCGTACCACTCTATCATACTCACCGTCCAATGCCAAGCAGAAGGTGGTAACCTCTGAAGCATCTAGCTTCTCCTGTAAAACATCCTAAACACGTTCTGGAAACATTTTAATTTCCTACTCTTAAGGTGGTAAGAATGACTACATGGATACCTTTAACTCAAAAACTATCCATATAAAGTTTTATTTTTGATAAATCTCACTATCTATCTCTATCATCTATCTATTCAAATCTCAAATGTTTATTATAAAGTAGATTATTTGTACCAGGCACTACCAGGCCCAAAATCTTTTGCACAACATGGCCTCCATGTTCTACATTCTTGGAAGCCTGACACGCTCCAAGCAGGCAAGTGTACTCCAATGCACCTGGAATAAAAGGCATTGAAGCAATGAGCTCTCGCGAGGCATCTAGAAATCCACCCCGTCCAAGAAGATCCACCATGCAACAAAAGTGCTGCCTTGTGTACTCCAAGCCATGATCTACACCCATTGACAAGAAGAGCGATCGCCCTCTATAAATCTCTCCTCTGTGGCTGCAAGAGATGATCACTGGAACAAAGCTTGTGGCAGTGGGGGCTTGGACTGTGGCCATGGAGTAAAAGGCCTCCAGAGCTTCGATAAATCGAGCATTCTGCGCATTAGAAGCAAGGAGAGCGTTCCAAGAAATCTCACATTGGAGCTCTGGAATGGAATCAAACATGGCCTTGGCTTTTCCTGGATGCCCGTTCGCGGCAAATGCCGCAAGCATTGCTGTTCTTGAGACAAGATCATGCCGCGGCATTTGGCCGTACACGGACTTTGCTTGCTCAATGTTTCTGGCACTTGAATACGCGTTTAAGAGAGATGTCCAGGACAGCGTATCACGCATTGGCATTGAATCAAACAAAGCTTTTGCCTCCTCCTTTTGCCCCGCCAAGGCATTCGCGGAAAGAATTGTGTTCCAGCAGACGAGGTTCCTCTCTGGCATGGCATCAAAGACACTTTTGGCTCCATCGAGATCAAAGTTTGTGGCGTAAGAAGAGAGAAGAGCACTCCACGAGACTAGATCGCGGGAAGGAAGCTGATCAAACAAACTTACGACTTGAGCTACATGCCCCAAGTGGGCATATGTCGTGAGGATCGTTGTCGCTAAAATCAGATCTAGAACTGGAATCTTCTCTAGCAGATTTTGCGACTTAGTCTTGTCACCCTTAAGAATGTACCCTGAAAATATCGCACTCCATGTTAGCAAGTTCCACTCCGGCATTTCATGAAACAGCCGCTCAGCGGCGAGTATATACCCAGACTGGGCATGCCCAGTCAGCATTGTTGTCCACGTCACAACGTCCCGCATTGGCACGTCATTGAAGATCTGGCTTGCGTGGCCACAGTCCTCGCTTTTGACGTAGGCTGCCAGCATGGTATTCCATGACACGAGGCTGCGGCGTGGCATAGAATCAAAGAAAGCCCGTGACATGTCAATATGCCCATTCTGGGCATATGCTGCTAGCATGGTGTTCCACGTCACTACACTATGATATGGCATTTGGAGAAAGTAAGACCTCGCTCGCTCAAGGTCGTGGCTTTTTACTAGCTCATGTAACACTTTGTTGGAGAAAGCTAGTGTCATTTTTAGTCAAGAAGGAAAAACTTACATTTAGTTAACACCTTTTACTTTTACCATTAATAAGAAGTTGCCACGTGGCAAGTTTGTTTTAGGGTTCTTTCCCCCTCTCCCAGCAAGAGAGAGAGAGAAGAGAAAATGTATGGATCAACGTCGGGCAATCTCAAAGGTGGTGGTGGCTACGCGGACATCGAGACGGGATACGAGCCCAGCGGAGCGCTCTACCCGGGCATCGATTACAGCGACAACGTCTTGCGATGGGGTTTCATCCGCAAAGTCTATGGAATCCTGAGCACCCAGATCGTTCTCACAGCTCTCGTTGCGGCGGTGATCGTCTTCTCGCAGCCCGTCGCGGATTTCTTCGCGCACAACACACTGCTCCTCGTCCTCCTCGCGCTCCTGCCTCTGATACGTAAGTCCGTGCTGCTTTTTTTGCTTTTCTTCTTTGTTTGGCTTTCTGTGATCTTGGCTTTTGTCTTCCTGCTCAAAATCTTCCTGTGATCCTGGGAAGATTTATTTTTCCTCTGTCCGTTTGCTTGTTCCTTACAAGAACTGCTTTTGATCCTGTCTTCCTTGGATAAACTTCATCCTTTCCTGTTCCTGATTGTTTTGTTTTCCTTTTCCTCTCAGTGCTATGCCCGCTCTACAACTATCAGCACCACCATCCGCTCAACTTGGTTCTTCTCAGCCTCTTCACGGTCTTCTTGAGCCTCTCCGTCGGGACTTCCTGCGCCTTCATCCGAGGTAAGCAAAGCTTGTCCCGTTCCATCTGTTTTCACCCCTCGCTCCAAACGATTCTCAACCTGTTCCACTTTTTGTCCGAATCCCAGGAGACGTCCTACTCGAGGCCCTCATTCTCACTGCTACAGTAGCACTAGCTCTGACAGCGTACACCTTCTGGGCAGTAAAGCAAGGCCACGACTTCAGCTTCCTCAGACCATATCTCTTCGTATCGCTTGTAGTCGTCGTGCTCTGGGGGATAATCCAGGTGTGTGCATATCGGACATCCCAGCTAATCCTCTCCTGTTTTTGTGGCTTCCAGATCTTCTTTCCTCTGGGACCAGTCTCGGGGACCATCTTTGCTGCAATAACCACCGTCATCTTCAGTGCATATATAATCTACGATACCGAGAACTTGATCAGAAGGTTCACTTTCGATGAGTATATCTGGGCTTCGGTGTCCCTGTACTTGGACATATTGAACCTTTTCTTAGCACTGCTAAATCTTTTGCGGGGCCTCCAGTCGAATAACTGAAACCTCTATACAATTGCCTGAAAAAATTTGTTACAGAAGAATAGAAAACAAGACTTCGAAACTGAGAAAAAAAAAGAAAAAAACTAGAAGAGAACGGCGATTATTGTAACGGGAAAAAGAATCCCTTACCCACTGGCTTCTGATGTTAATGTACACTTACCTGTTCACCTCCAGTGTCCACTAAACACTTGTGAAAATGGTCTCCGCAACGTGACTTGTGGGAATAACTTCTCTCGAGCATCTTCGGCGTCTTTCCCTTCACTCGGCTTACTTTGTTGATTGAGAAGGTCCTTCTCGTCCTCGAGATTATCCTCGGTGTGCTGCTTCTTGTCACCTGTTTCCAAGTGGTAACCGAAGCCATGCACTGGTAAGTTGAAAAGTGCGTACTGGCTTTTCTTCTCCCTGGGTACAAGGCGGGCGACGAGCTTGAACGCAAATGGAGTGAGGACAAGGCTGAATGCGCTGGTACCCATCAAGAGGAGGTAGAGCTTTCTGGATACTAGTCCCAGGCCTTGAGCACGGCTCAGCAGCACAAACGAGAATTCCCCGATCTGTGCGAGAGCAATGCCAACGCTCACAGATATAGGAGTGCTGTAGCCAAATGCACAGACCTGAAACACCAGCAAACAAAACTTAGAAGCTTGCAAACAACAGTCGAGGACTTTTAAAATTGTACCACTATAGCGATCAAGAATGTTTTGCCGAAGAACAGAACCGCGAGTGACCCCAGTAGAATATCTTTGTGCTGCCAGAGAAATACGGGGTGCATGACCATGCCGATAGAAGCTAAAAAAAGCGAGGCAAATATATTCCGTATTGGCTCGACGTGGTGGAGAGTTTTCTCGCTATACGTTCCACCTGCACAAGAATACACAAAAGAACAATTTAAAATTAGAAGACATCAAACCAAGGAAGTATACAACCTGATAGCATGAGACCCGCGACGAAAGCGCCAACTTCAAGCCCGAGCCCGAGGCTTTGACTTAGCATGGATATACTCAGACAAAGTCCAACGATTCCTAGCTGGTACAACTCGGAGCTGTTCTTCGACAAGCGGCTGAGAGCCGAAAGCAACCGTGAAACAACCAACTTGGAGGCGATCCAGGCCACCGCACAAAAACCGGACAGCAAAAGACACTCCCTTGCCAATGCAATCAGGATCGTCCAGGAGCTGCTGCCTTTGGCCGCGAGTGCCGGCATGACGGCTAGCAAGAGCCCCAAAGCGCAGTCTTGGAAAATAAGCGTGCCGAGTAGTATCTGGGACCACCGGAAAAGAAAAAACAAAAACAACTTAGATCGTGTGCTTGTCACGCAAGTGTATTTAGATTAGATTCCAACCTGACCGTGTTCCGTGCCGGCCATGTTGGCGTCCATCATGCATTTTACCACGACCGCGGTGGACGACATGGACAGAAAAGCCCCTGCATACGGGCGCACGTCACACAATCTGCATAGAAAGTCAATGTAACTTTTGCTGCTAGACTACGAGACTCACCAATGAAGATACCCTGCGGAACCGTCGTGGAGAGCAGGGCCCCAAGCACCATCGCCGTGAGGATTTGGATGCAGCCCCCGCCTAAAGCCACGGCTTTCACTCCCTGCATCTTTGTCGCGCTAAACTCCACGCCGAGAGCGAATAGCAAGAATATGACACCGAACTGAGCGAGTGTTTCCACCTGGAACGTAAAGCTTAGACAATGACAAAGACAATGACAAAGCTTCATACCTGGACGAGCTCGTGAACAAGGTGGAGACCACCTGGTCCCACGAACATCCCAGCAGCAAGGTAGCCCAGGATCACGGGCTGTCCCAGGAACGCAAAAACGATAGCTCCAAGCGCGGACGCAACCATGACGACGACAATGTCCCGGATCAACATCAAGTCCTCCTGAAACTGCATCTGAGACCTCTTCCCGGGATGACTGATAACGTACTCGTTGTCGTCTCTGTCGATCAACCGAGCAACGTCCTCCGACTGGTAGCGTCGCCCATTGTCTTTTCCTGCCGTGGAGTTCTTCTTCTCACCACCGGGCTTCTGACCGATAGTCGTAGCGTTTGGACTTGGATGCGGCAAAATGGAAGGATGCTCCAATGTGGCACTACTATCACTTCGCTCGTCTTGTTTCTCGGCAGTGGCATTAGTCTGCTGCTGCTGTGGCACCACCACCACCCCTTCTGGACCGATCGCTTTCTCTTCGTCCGGCTTGTCATCTTTGCCAGACTGCTGCTCGCTCTCTTTGCCATTGCTCCCGGGCTCCTCCTCGTCCATGGAGTGCTTGCCGACTCTCGCAACAGTCTCGAGCACACCACCTTGGTTCTCAATCGTGTCGTTAAACTTGCCCGCTTCCTTCTGGCTGTCATCCTCCAGAGAATCAAAAAGCTTCTCCACATTCTTGACTATCTGGCTCGCCTTGTCGTTCACCTCCTTGTTTCTTGTGTCGTTGCTCTTGACGTCCCACCTAACAGAGAAAGTAGCATTCCCTCCAGTCCCATTCGCAGCACCGCCAAATCCCTCCACACCACTCCCATTCTTCGCCGCCGCCTCAAGAATCTCTAACGCATCGGCCCCTATGCTGCTACCGCCATCGCCATCGCCTCTAGCATCGCTCGCGCTCGCAGATCCAGCTCGATACCACAGCAGGGGAAGCAGCAGCAGCAGGAGGAGCACTCTCATTGCCAAATTCCAGTCGCTCGATTCCAATCCACACCTCATGACGCCGCTGCCGCTTGAATCTCAGCTCCAGCGCTGCCACATTGCGACATCCTGCCGCATTCGTCGATCCGGCGCTCTCACCTGTGGCGAATCCCTCGCGTGAGCTCACGACACACGCCCTAACCCTATTACGCGGTAGCCAAATTTTAACAGGGCCCTGTGAATGGTAGAATATTCCCTTCCAGATTCGCTTCTTTCTTATTATTGCTATTGGCGCTGGTGGTGGTGTTGATGGTGCTGGTGCTCGTCGCCCACTACCACTTTCTGGACGATTATAATGTAGTAGTCTTCGCTGGGGACAACAATGAGCTCGTGTAATTTCGTTCTCACTCTCACCAACATCATGGTGTCCTACAAAAGAAATAAAAAACAATCCAGCGATCAAAACGAAGGATCAGGCACAAAAAAAAAGGAGTTTTCTTGGATGACTTACAGTTGGTTCGATATCGGCCGCCAAGTTCTTAGATTTCATCACGATCAGAGCGACGTATCTTGCGTACTGCACGAATAAGTACCTGTCTGTGTACGGGGCTTGAGACGTGGGAATTATCAAAAGAGCGAACCTGTGTCGTTGTGGCGTGGTCCATGGAGCTCTTGATGGGGATTCCAAGGCTGTCGGTCAAGATTGTCCCAACGATACCTTGGAAAAAAAAGAAAAAAGCCAGCATTTGTTTTATTCCAAGCTTGAGAAAACTCTATCGAATTTAAGTAGCTTAAGAGAGGTACCTTTGTGAGAGGATATACTCTTGAGAGTTTCCTCTGAAACGTACTGTATAAAAAACAGGGAGAGGAAGCTACAGTGAGCATAAAATTGAAAGCAATAGCACCTTGTTTTGACGTAGTGTTGCCGGGTCTATTCTCACAGCCTCCTCCAGAGACGATGGTACTGCGTCTTCGTCCATGACTGTATGAAACGACTAAAGGCGCAGCGCACAGTGATAGGTCCAGCTCGTTCGAGACCTAATCAATCGGTTCACCTGAAATCCCCACGTGGATGCCACGCAGGAAGAAAAAGAAAAAGACAAAAGAAAAAACGTTTGGTAACTCGCAAAAAAAAAAAAAAAAAAAAAAAACGGACACCAAGAGTGATTGACAAAGAAAAGATCTCGAGATAGAAGAGGACACAGGAAAAACAAAAACGTTCGGTAACTCATGAAAGGAGAAAAACAATGCGGACACCAAGAGCGATTGACAAAAGAACGATCCTGAGATAATTAAAACACCTGGGAATCTAGACATCCAAGAAAACTTTGGCTTGGACAAAGGCGCAAATCACACTTTGAAACAACGGACGTACAGAGGGTGGAACTGGAATCGAATGTAAAAACTCGCGAAACCGGCAACACACGAGGAGCGTACCTGCAGGTTACTATAAAGGCCTGCTCATTCGATTCGCTTGTCCGGCTGAAAACGATCTGCGAGGAAGCTTGGCCGAGTACGGGCTGCTGTTGGAATTTCGTTGGGTGATTCGAGCTGATCGAGGACTTCCACCATTCTGAGATTTTAGAAAACTTTTAGCTTTGGTTTCTACGGGAGCGCACAAAATTCTTACGGGAGTAAAAATTCGTTCCGCCGACATCATAGGAAGCACTTGCTTCGGCATTGCGTTATGTGGCAAATAATCAGCCCGAAGTGGGTTCAGTTTTTGGATGTCTTGGTCACAGGACCTGAAACCTCAACTTGTAGTCGTTAGTAACCCCTTGGAAACAGTAGAGTAAAGCACGTACATGCATTTGAAACCCATTAGCGGCTTTCCACTAAACACTGCATGCTCTGGTTGCTCCATGAACTCACGAACAATCCGAGCTATTTTCTGCAAAAATGTGAAAACAGCTATCGTCTGGGAGGATACAACGAGGCAAGGTACCTGCATATCTTTCTTTTCTGCTTTTGTCTCTTTCATACCGTCAACTAGGATCTGCAACTCCTTCATTTGTGTTGTATCTTCTTTCACTTGTATTTGATTCTCTCTTAATGCTTTCTGCAGTAGCAAACATGTGAAATGAGATAAGCTCGCAATCCCTTACCTCAAAAGCAAAAAACATGTCCTCGTAGGCTGCTTCAGGATCTTGAGGTTTCTGATCAGGAACAGTTTCTGGGCCACCTGGAACACCCGGTGCACCTGGAGCTCCTGGAACGCCTGAGGCTGGAGCCCCTGGAGCGCCTGGAGGGCCTAGCGCTCCCAAAGGTCCAGAAGCTCCCGGTGCTCCTGCAACTGCACCTGAAGGAACGCCAGCAGTTCCAGGTGGAGCGGCAGACACTTCTGCAGGCTTTTGTTCTGGAGCAAACCGCTGGTCATGACCAGACATGATAAGCACGGTCCTTCCAAGATATCCCATGTCCCTATGAATCTGCAAAATTCTCAAATAAACTCAAGTTCTGAAATGTGCTAAGGCCCATCACCTCTTCTAGTAGTCTGTCGTGATTTTTCAAAGCGTCACGGACTTCGTCCGCAACATAGTCCGTCACCATGCCCTGATAAACGTAAAAAATACTTCGCTCGCTAAATCAGACGCATGCATAAGTACTCTACTCACCTTTGTGCCTCCAGCAAGCAAACTTGATAACTTTGACGACCTACGATTGGGTGCAGGACCTGAAGCAGAGCCTCTCCTTTGTTGATGCCGAAGATCCTCAATCATTTGTGCCACCCTTTGAAGAGACTGGGGAAGGAAACAACATCAGCCAAAACAGAATGCCAATCGAAAACTATCACCTCTTTGTTGGTTTGAGTCAGCGTTTCTAGAGCAACAACATCAGCTTTTGCTTGCAGGCGGTTTTGAAGATCGGTAACAGCAGTTCCAAGATCTGCCACGATGGCACTCGGACGCCGCTGGCCTGGTTTGAGCTCCGGGGGAGCTACAAGTTTCGTATCAAGATCCACACGAAGTGCCTGAAGCCATTGAAAAGTTAAGGTGCCTTCATACAACGATTTTACGTACTTGGCAGTATTTGTTGAGTGCTTCTAGCTCAGCAGCATGATTTGAGGCGGTTTGCTGAAGTTGTATTTTGAGGTCATCTCCCTGAAGCAGTAACCCCGTTGTACCCGTGAACATGAAATTGAGATAGTTGAGAATTGCATACTTGATTTTCCAAACTTTGCAGCCTTCCACTGTGGTCCAGAACATCAGCTTGTAAAGACTCTATTTCTTCTGTCATAACTCGCACTGCCCCCGTCGTTTCGACTACATGCTGCTCAAACTGTGACTGGAAGTTTTCACCCTGTTTCCTTATTGTTTCGTCCTGCTCCTTGACTTTGGTTTGCAGCTCTGAACTGACCGCAGTCAGGTTCTGGATTCCTCCCTCTAAATCTTCAACTCTTTTGGGAACAGACTCGACGGCTGCCTTCAATTCTGCCAAATCCCCAGTCACTGTCTTGACGTTTACAGAATTTTCTTCCATCCTGCAATGGAAGCTTTTGTCAAGTTCCACTCACCAAGCCGGAAGCATACCCTTTTTGAACAGCGTTGATACGATCTCCAGTGACTTTAACATGTGTATCGAGCTTCTCAGCCTGCTTTTGGACCTCGACCTCGGTGAAATCTTTACACTCTTTAGCCGTGTTTTTACTGCATTGCGTCGCGTCAGGGAAAGAAAAAACAGAAAAGCAAACGGGTCAAATCTCGTACCAGACTTCGTAAATCTCCTCCTTGAAAGCTTGAAAATTTTTGGCGAGCTCCTCAGCTTTCTCAAGCCGTGCTGTCTGTGGTAGCGATGGTTAAAATCAATCTCTCTCCTCTGTTCACAATGGAGCTACAACTTACATGAGCTGTGAGTCGATCGCAGACAGATCGCAAAAGACTTTGCAGTTTCTCCCACTGCAACTGCGCTACAACTGGTACATGGGTGACCGCCAAAATCTCCCGAATGATCGCAACATCGTCCATGGCTGCAAGATTACACCTGTCCTAAAAGCGTCGAGAACTATCTTCCTCAAAATCCTGCCTGCTTTTCAAGCTCCAGCGCACCAGCATTGCCATGTCCCATCAAAATCTCCCCCTCAGGATCAAGGCCTGAAGAATCCGGGCAATGTGAGACTCATAGAATACTTTCGATGCGCAAGCAGCCGATCGGAGCCATTTCTCGATCCAGCGCCTACCAGAGGAGTGATCGCTCCAGATCTGGCAATGGAATGCCGACGAAAAAACAGAGCTCCGGCGGTACCGCAGCCTCGGCGCTCCCACGCTAGCCCTGCGCCAATACCCTAATCCCTCGCTAAGAGCTTCGCGTGACCACGCCCTTTCTGGCTCTTCCACCATTGTATGCAGCTCGTCGCTTTTGTCGAATTGGCAGCATCGCGGCCGTCGAGTGGAAAGAAACGAATCCCGGCCGTCGATGCCTTCTTTCGTCAGTTCTAATGGCAAAGGTCATGAGAGAGAAATGCGGGTGCTTTGCCTTCACTGCCTACGTGGCCAGGTTTTTAGGTATTAAACTATTTAGGGTTCTTCGCGATGGATGAGGCGGAGGCGCTCAAGACGATGAGCTTGGGGGATGAGAATGTGCCAGACGATGCTGCTGAGGAGGTCGTGGATCCAGGCGCTGGACCGGTATGCCAAATCCTGTGCGTTGTTTCCTGGATTTTGATGCGATATTTTGGCGCAGGATGCCGTCGCAGCCAAGAAGAAGAAGAAGAAGAAGAAGAAGGGCGGTGCTGCTGCCGTTGTCGCTGCTAGCACTGACGAAGCTCTAGCTGGTGATAAGGAAGACGACGAAGATGAGAATCAGCCCGAAAATGAATCCGGTAAGGAAAGCTTCTTTGCTGTTTTGGGCAGCTCCAAGCTCATTCCTTTTCACCTTTCCTTTGCTTTCAGCTGAAGCAACAAAGAAAAAGAAGAAGAAATCCAAGTACGTTAAATCACTACGCTGGGGTGTTTGTTTACTGATGCTTAAACATTTTATCAGGAAGAAGAAAGCAGCGACTGAGCAGACAGATCCTCCATCAGTGGCTGTAGCTGATCTCTTCCCATCCGGAGAGTTTCCTATCGGAGAGATACAGCACTACAAGGATGAGTAAGACAATCGACTGACTTCCTCACTAATGCTTTATACGTGTTCTTCTACGTGACAGCAACCTCTGGAGAGAAACATCGGAAGAAAAAAGAGAATTGGAAAGGCTAGAGAAGCCCATATATAATGAAGTTCGTCAAGCCGCAGAAGTACATCGTCAGGTACCTCTTTTAAAAAATGCGATGCACAATTTTATAATTTCTTTCCTTCCATATGCTAGGTGCGGAATTACATTCGCAAGTACGCAAAGCCTGGAGTTGCAATGGTCGATATTTGCGAAACACTAGAAAACATGGTGCGAAAACTTATATCTGAAAATGGATTGCATGCGGGAATTGCATTTCCAACTGGCTGCTCTTTAAATTGGTACTGCGCATATTATCTTGATAAAATTTTGTAAATATTTTTGTGGCTCAGGGTAGCTGCGCACTGGACACCAAATGCTGGAGACAAAACAGTACTTCAGTACGATGATGTTATGAAGCTGGATTTCGGAACGCATATCGAAGGTTTGTTTTTTTTTTTTTTCCTTTTTACGTTTATTTTTTTGCAAAATCTAAGTTTTTAAATGTATTATTCAGGGCGTATAATCGATTGCGCGTTTACACTTGCCTTCAATCCCATGTTCGATCCTCTTTTGGAGGCTGCGCGAGAAGCAACGAACACTGGTATTCGGGTACGTATTCGCAAATTTACCCCTCATTTAACGTAGTTTGGATGCATTTCTAGGAAACGGGAATCGACGTGAGGCTTTGTGACGTTGGCGCTGCTATTCAAGAGGTGATGGAGTCTTACGAAGTTGAGATAAATGGCAAATCATTTCAAGGTAAACGTTTATGTCTTATGTTTCATAAAACATTTTTATTTTGAATGTACAGTGAAAAGTATAAGAAATTTGAACGGTCACAGCATAGGACCATATCAAATACATGCGGGTAAATCTGTTCCTATTGTCAAAGGAGGAGAACAAACAAAAATGGAAGAAGGAGAATTTTATGCCATCGAGACTTTTGGCTCCACTGGTTTGCAATTTTAGTTGGTCGCCATTTGTCGACAACTGTTTTTGCAGGGAAAGGCTATGTGAGAGAAGATTTGGAATGCAGTCACTACATGAAGGATTTTGACGTCGGTCATGTTCCTTTGAGGCTGCCACGGGCAAAGCAGCTGCTGGCAACCATCGACAAAAACTTTTCAACGCTGGCTTTTTGTCGTCGGTATCTGGATAGGCTGGGTGAGACAAAATACTTGATGGCTTTGAAAAATCTGTGTGACGCTGGCATCGTCCAGGTAAGTCGACGTTTCCCTTATGGTTGTGCTGTCACTAAGTACGTGACGTCTTACAGCCATATCCACCCTTATGCGATATCAAGGGTAGCTACGTTGCTCAATTTGAGCACACGGTCCTACTTCGGCCAACGTGCAAAGAGGTATTGTCCAGGGGCGATGATTATTGAACGGGAGATGGCATCGTGTAGATGTTGCTCTTTGTACAGTAACCGTTCCAGGTTAAATAAAGTTTCCGGATGAAAGTTTTCCAATATCATTGTTCGAGCATTTGGTTGATCGAGTTTCGGCTGCTCCTTTTGTACGGTAAACTTAGTTTTTTCATTGCGGACATTCTCTGATCAGGCAATCTTTGTGTTAACTGCAGTTAATTTAAGGCAGCCTGACAGCAACTGTTTCTTCAATGTATCTCTAACAGGTGTTTCTGGGATTGAGTGAGAAAGCAAAAGCCTGGGATCGTGGGATTACGCCATCATGAACTTTGAAAGTTTCGGACACTCGCTACTTTAAAGATAATCAGTTAAACAGAGGAGATCCGTTACTAACAGGTACGTTGGAAGTACGTCATTCTTATTGCATGACTTAACTAGTGTTGTTTATGCCGGGGCTTAAACCGAAGTACAAGGTAAGCGAGAAGTCTATAGACGACGGCGAAAATTGCCGAAACGCCCAGGTTCATCCACTTGCTGGAATGCTCGAGGCCGGACTCGGCCAGCACACTTCTTCCCGTGAGATTGCAGACTTTCTCAAAGCACACGTCAGAAAGAGACTCGTACTCGTTAATGAGCATCGCATCCAGTGGGTACTTGAAGACGGACAGGTAGTGCATAAACAGCCAGTACTTGGGAATATGATCCTTGGGGACGAAGTAGCCTGAGAAGAGGAAGAACGCTCCAAGAGTACCGGTGACGAGAGTGTTCCCCAATATATAGTCCGGAACCAGTGCGCTGAAGAAGGAAACGATCGAGTTGGCGTCCACCACTACCATCCACACATCGAGCAGGAAGAAGACGTACGCTTCAATGGAATGGTTGAGGCCAACGAGGAAGTACGCCGGTACCGTATACAGGAGCGAGAAGACGAACAGGAACGGCAGGAACATGAGCGTGTTGGCGATCACGTACGACGAGACCCTGTATGTTCCCCTGGAAGTTTCACGCTCGAAGATCTGGCGCTCCGCGAGAAACATCGGCAGTGACTCACTCGTCGACGTGAGCAGGAACGTGAGAGTGAAGGCGAAGAAGCCGTAGCGTTCCCGGACGCCTACGACGTTCCGTCCCAGGTGGGTGAACACCGAGCCGAGAGCAAAGCCAGCACCGAGCGCTTGCGCAGTTCTCGCCAGCGACAACTGCTTGGTTCTCCAGATGGTCTTCCAACACCGGCTAGACAGCAGCAAGATTTCCCTGTATCGAGAGTTGGCGAAAGTTGGCTTGTCGACGATCCGAGGAGCAGCAAAAACCGATGGTGGCGGTGGTGGTGGCGACTTGTCGTGCACTCTCTGGTTGAACAAGTCCTCGAGCGAGCAGCGCATTTTCGAGACCGGAACGTTGAAACACTCGGCGATGATACCGTCGCAGCCCCTGTCCGCCTCGATCAGATTGATGGTCTCGATGGCATACTCGACAACGTTCACCTGAGGGGGGAAGCTGTGGCCGGCCGCGAAGAGCTTGTCCGAGAGCTCCTGCAAGCTCCCGCTGTGGATCATCCGTCCTGGACCCAGCAGCACGATGGAGTGAATGAGCTCGAGGATCCGGAAGCCCGGCTGGTGGATACTGAGGATGATGGTCCTCTCGTGGGACTTAGCCATGTTGTGGAGCATCGCCACCACCTGGAGCGCCGCCGCCGAGTCCAAGCCGGAAGTTGGCTCGTCCAGGAGCAGTACGGCCGGGTCGTGGATCACGTCAACTCCGATAGAAACTCTCCGCCGCTCGCCGCCAGAGACTCCACGGACAGCGTCGCTGCCTATCCTCGACGACGCCACGCCGCGCAGCCCGAGCTCCGCCATGAGCAGCTCCACCCGAGCGCGCTTGCCCGACGCGGGCATGCTGGAAGGAAGCCGGAGCTGCGCGCTACACATGAGCGTCTCCGCCACCGTGAGCATCGGGAAGAGCAAGTCGTGCTGCATGACGTAGCCGGAGATCCGCCGGAAGGAGCTCAGCTCCATTGGCCGCTTGTTCACTAGTATGCTGCTGTTCTTCGCGGGGGTGATGCGACCGGCCAGTATCTCCAGGAGGGTCGACTTCCCTGCTCCGCTCGGCCCCGCAATTGCGAGCAATTCACCCGGCTTGGCAGTACAGTTGACGTTCCGGAGGATGGTCTTGGTCTGGAGGAGCTCCGGCCAGTAGTTCTTTGGGACGAAGCACGCTACTCCGGTGGACGCTCTGCTGGGGACTGTGTGATAGCTGAGGTTCTTTACCTGGATCTCGTACGGGACCGAGCGCCTCGGCGAGTGGAGAGGCGAGTCGTCTTCGTCGCTGTAGAGCTTGACGTGCGGGATGTTTACAACGGTCTCGTCCCGCATGCTGTGAGTGCAAGGTCGCTGGCAAGCTCCGCATCGCAGGGGACTCTTCTGGGACAGGACTTGGAGGAGATTGTTACCATTGCCGGCGTGGCTGTTGCTGCTGCTCTTGTGAGTATTATTACTTCCCTCTTCTCCTGTTGTTGATTGTTCTTCGCTCGACTCCTGAGCCATTCCCATCGCTGACTCGCTTTCCTTTCGTGACAGAAGCTCTAGCAGCAACACCTCTGCCGCTGTCTTCCAGGGTCTAAAGGAAATGCACCACGCATGAACGCAAAAGGTAGATTGAGCTCAAGCTCACACACTCTTTTCTCCCTTCCTTTTTTTTTTCTTTCGTTTCCACACAGAGCTATCCTGCAAGTTCCAGCGAGCGCAAGTGCTATATGCTTTTGGCCTCTCGAGGAGTAAATGCAAGCGAGGAGCACAGCAGTGGTGGTGCTTTAGCTCAAACCTGTGACTCGAATGTGCTCGCCTGGTTTATATACCTACACCACACATAAGGCGGAGAACTGCGCGGGTTGACAGGAGCCAGGCCTGTGCGTGATGCCGAGTGGTGGTAAATGCTTTATCTTGATTATCCAGGTAAGCTTCCAATCTATTCCTTGCTTAATTATGCAAGGGCTGTGGCGTGATACGCAAGATTTTCCACGCGTGGCAACTCTTACGTAATTGCATGGATTCTAACAGGTAACCATAGCTCTCTGTTCATTAACTTGCAAGGAATAACCTCTTCTCCGTTAGGTGGAGTGGTCACATAAAACCCATAAAAGTTTGCCAACTATGTGCTTTCACTGCTCAAATGTCCTCTTCCATCGTGGATACACACTAGAAACCAGGTAATCTTTTTGGAAGTTACCCGCTTGCGTGTGAAAGAGTCTTACATTAGTTTGTTCTTCGTACACTCTAAAAAACACATGTGACTTTTCAGAGGGCGCTTAAATCCTGTGTGTGATTGGAGCCAAACTTGAAAACGCTGTGCCTCCATATGTTTGTCTTGTAGAAGAATACCACTCAACTCAACTCAGAGCTCCAGAGCTCCAGAGCTCACAGTGCAGTGCACCGCAGATGAAAGGATTTTTATCTTTCCCCAGGACAGCGAATCAAGAACCGCAAGAAAACAAAGTAAAAAAAAAGTTGGATCTGGGGGTTTTCTTACTGAGAGAACCGGAGACGAGGACCAAGCAGCTTCATACGAGAACGCCACATACAAAGTAGCGAAAAAGAGAGAAAAAGCTGCGCACAGTTTATTTGTTTGTTTGTTTCTCCCTGACAAAGAGGAGAAAGGAATTTATACCAAGGAAAGAGACCGAACCTTGTGTGTGTGTTCGCCACCACAAAGAATGTAAAAGAATCCCGATGGATAGGGTCATTCCTGAGGCCCTTATGCGTGCTTGCCTGACTAAAAACAGTGGGACAGCCAAGAGTCACGGATCACCCATGCCAAGCCGCTGGACAAGTTTTTTAAAAAAAATTGGAGAAACAAGAAAAACTTGAGAACTTTCTTACTTGGAGTCATGATAAGTCGAGAATCAGCTGGCCTGCTATGATCCCGCAAGCACATACGCCTGTAACCGCCAAGGTTCCACGCTTTGTGATCCAGTTTCTTCCGCCAGGATAGTGGGAGTTTCCAGATTCTTTGGCCAGTCCCCACGCCATTACAGGTGGAAGAACACCATAGAGCGTGGTCATGCCATATCCCCCCTGCGTTAAGTTTCAGCGCATCAGCTCGCGACATCTTAGAGCACAGAGAAAACGATTTTCTTTTAGCTTACCGCCAGGTCTGCAGCTGTGAAGAAGGCGTCTGAGATACTTAGCGAGAGCAGGAGAGGAGGAACGAGAACCAATGCCACCGAGACGAGTTTTATATGCGCTGGCCTCGGGGACGTTGCATCATCAAAGAATGTTTCGCCTGGAAGTAAGATGGCGATGGACTTCCCAAGCCGCTCGATGAAAAACTCGGACATTCCGAGCACGGAGCCAATTATGGATGTTAGCACGGCTAGAAGAGAAAAGAGCTGCACAGCGAAGGAGGTCCTGCATGTACAAACGTTGTAAGAAGAAAGAAAATACGAGCTTACTGAATAGCCAGACTTAGAGGATCCGCATTCCCAGACGTAGAAGCGAGAGAAAGAGCTACAGCGTTCCAGCACAGAAGCATGGCCAGAGGTATCGCGCTGCCGACGATAACCGACGTCTGTATCCGCCTTACATCGCCATCCAAATATGTGCAAATGACTACAAAACCTTTCATGTTATCGAGGACACGTTCATCGCTTTCGCCCTACCTGGAATTAAGTCGTGGTAAACCAGAGCCAGAAAAATAACGGGAATAGCCTCTGGAGCCATTTTCCAGTTCTGATGCAAAAGAGCTGTCCAGTCTCCATATTTAGAGCCTCCAATCACGAGCAAGAGAAAGAGCCCTGCAGAATGGTTTCTTGTAAAGAAAAAACTTTTTCTTTGGAAAAAGGACTTCACCTCACCTATCAGTCCCGCAGTCATGAACTGATTGGCTCGGTCAGCGAGTTTGGTTCCGCCAGAGAGAAGCAAATATCCAAATACGCCGACGAACAAAACTTCCGCTATCTGTCTTGGGACGTGAAATAACAGGGAGAGAACTTCGCCTGACTTGGAAATGTAGGCCACTATAAGTGCATATGTGAGGAGCACGTAAACCGCTCCAACAAGGATTCCTCCTCGGCTGCCGAGAGTTGTCTCGGCCATAGTTTGAAGAGAGATGACTTTCGACAGTGAATGGTTTGCTTTTTTGCTGCTCATCAGAGCCAAGTTCACTTCGACCAGAAGAAAAGCCTCCAAAACCAAAAAGATCCAAGAACCAGTCATTATGCTTGCAGATGGAATAAATCCCTGAGAAGGAAAATGAAAGAATAACGTTTGCAAAAGAAAAACAAAAACAATAATCTGGACTCACTGCTGCGATAGTTTTTGCTGGTACTGCCAGAATTCCAGCACCAATGCTGGTTCCAGTAATCAACGCAATTGCTCCCACAAGCGTGCCATTGCCTGGTGTTGTTTCAGCGCTCTCTCTCCTGATGCTCCTGCCTTTCACACTTGTACTCCTGCGAAAACTTTCAATTAACAATCGAACACCACCAGTTGCATTACCTTGGTCGATCCTCTTGGGACCCTGCTGCAGGATTTAAGCTCTGGAATTTCTTGCAGGCTGTAGGAACCCGACTATGAAAGAAACTTTGACTCCTCACACATCTCCCCGGAAATTGTACTCCGGGTTTCACGTATAGCTGCTTAAATCCAAAAGCGTTACAAAATAGATAAAACGCCGAACATGATAGCTTACCTCAGAACAAGACCATCCCCCTCGAATATCCATGCCCTCCTCACTGCTCCCAGGACATGGGAAGCACAAAGATCCCGGCCCTTCCGAAGAAAAAAATCGGAAATAGAGAATCTAATGTAGGACCGACGTCTTCAAAGTCATTGTCGTCTTGCACCCTTGTTTTCCATGGACTCGCAAGCTATAGCCACTCTACTGTCAAACATCCAGTCGGGATGAAAGAAAAAAAAAAAAAGGATTTTACGTACTTGGACATCTGCTTAGAGAGGAGCCCTGCTGTAGACTTGCAGGCCCTTCCACGGTGGAGCAGGATTGTCCCGAGCCATGAAGCCTTGCATGATCTTCTCGATCGCTTCTGATGACGGATAAGGCCTTCGCAATGCTATGCTGTTTCCGTCTTGAACCGGTACAATCAGCTCGCTGGTGAAGACGTTTTTGATCTTCTGTGCAGTTGTCTCATGCCTCGCACCTAGAGTCCGCAGGCAGGAAAACCGTAAGTTGTAATCCACGATCCTCTTCACCCGGTCCAAGTTCTTCGAGCACTTGTAGTAGTCAAGTATGCTGTTGGCCACGCGAGCAAACTCCTCCACGATTTCAATCTCTGTCTTGTGCATCAGGTAGCGGTGAACCGTCGGCCTTCCCCGCATCAAGAACATGGAATTATTGAGCATGATCCTGATGTTCCGGATGGGTGCGTAAAACTCTGGTGGTGTCATTGTTGGCTTCACGATCGGCTCCTTGGCCTGCTTCTGTGGCTTTGGTGGTTTCTGGGCCGCCACTCTCTGCTTCTTCTTTTCATCGACAAAGGACTTGAGTGAAGCTTCCAACTGCTTCGCAGCTTCTGTGACTTCTGGAGGAAAAATATTCTGTGTCCTCCTGTTCAACAGTATCTCCCTCGGACTCATAATGTGGTAGATGTTACGGTACTCCGGCCCGACGATGGTGTCCTTGAGATTCTTAAGAACTTGCCGGAGTAAGTCCAATCCCTTTGTGACGTCCATTTGAACTGTACATGTCTCGTCGTAAGCTCGGCGAACTGTTTTCTTGCCAGCATGGACGTATTTCCTCATGACCCGTCGCCACCTATCTCCTTCTTTGATGAGTTCCAGTCTAGCCATGCGTTTCTTCCATTCCGACTCGGTCTTGTTCTTGGGACTGTAGAAACCTTCGGGATCGTCGCAAACTATTCGAAAGCCGAGAAAGCTGGCAGGGTTTTGCATGCTGTCTGCAATCGATCCAGACTTCCTCTTGTTCATGTTGAAGCCAAGCTTCTCGATGAAAAACTTGGCGTCATAGAAAATGTTGCTCGCGTCCTCCTTCGTACCGATAAAGCCCATCATGAACTGAGTTCCATGCCGGACGTACCAAAGCCTTCTATACTCCGGAAACTTGGCGATCAAAATGTGCCTCACGCCTTCACGCTTGAATGGCATGCTCGCTTCACGGCCATCCTTCATCGTCACGCACGGAATCTCTCCCCTCTTGTAGAGAGATATGTTGTGAGCGACTGAAAGATCGAACTTGTGCAAGTAGACGTTGCAAAGGAGCCTTCCCAGATTGGTCGACTTTCGGACGCGGCACCGGATCCCTTCCTCTACAGATCCCCGGATCATCCTCAAGACTCTCATGTCTCCAACAAGCTGCCGCAGTTCGTCCTGGAGATTCTTGGTCATTTTCCTCTCGCGGCAGCTCTGGATCCTGAACTTGAGAAACCAGCTTATGCCGACCCATCTCCGGATCTCCTTGAGAGCCGAGTGCTCTCCCAAGCCAGGGCGATGGCCGTGGGAGTAAACCAGAAAGTAAGGCTCGTAGACGGCCTCCAGCACCATCCTGAGCGCTTCCCGGACAATCTTATCGCCATTTCTCCCGCTAATATGCACCTTCTTTGCCGGTCCAGCAACTGTGTTTTCGAGAGAACTCCGAGGCACGAGCGCGTTGGTGCATTTCTCGTTTGGATTTTCAGCCTGAAAGAAGCAAAGAAAAAAACTCACGAAGAACTTCCAAAGTTTTGTATTCACCTTGAAAACGTCCGCGTTCCTCTCGTTTAGAACCTCCGCAGTGTTGCCAGGATCCTGCCAGAACATCAAACTTTAGACTCCAAGAGAAAAACTTCCTACCTTCTTTTTCCCTGGACGCCGGTTCCGTGGATGATCCTGCAAGAAAAGAAAGAAGCTAGCTCTTTATACCAAGCACAAATCTCTCGCGTACCTTCTTCACCGCACCAATGGTAGCGCTCTCCCGAGAAGAATTCCCCAGCTGCAAGAGAACAAGAACAAAAATTTACCACTCCAGAGGTTCCCATTTTTCCCCTACCTCTTTCGCCGATCCCGCATTCGCGCGCTGCAAGCAAGCATTAGCTCCTGGCGATGGATCCACACAGAAATATCGATCGCAGCGTTGAGAGAGATCCCTACCTTGGAGTATCGCCGGACGATCGCGAGAAGGCGCATTCCCTCCTCTAAAACCCTAAACCCTTGCAATGTGAGCAAGCATTGATCATATTTCCACCGCCGCGCCTTTCCATTCCATGATCAAGGACAGCAAACTAGGGCTCATGGACCGGTAATTGGGAATTCTCTCGCAATCCCTGGGAAGGAGAGCGTTTCAAGGTAAGCGAAGATCAATCACGCATAGCTTCTCTGATAATCTCCACTAGTGGCCATGGATCACAGAGCGTGAGCGGAGGAATCCGCGCGACCGTGAGGCTCTTTCATCACAGTCGATCCATTCTTGACAAGGTTTGCTTGCTTCTTCCAAGTTCGCTGGAATTTTTTTTCTTTGCCAGATACAAGCCGGAGAAGGGCCATGTTGTGATCGGGCGCATTGTAGAGGTGACGTGTTCTTCGCTAGTGAGCGTTGGCTCGAGGATTTCTTCGTTTCTGCAAGGTTGCGCAAGGGAGCTGGAGGGTGGACATCAGCTGCGATCGCCATGCTCGATTGGAGCTATCGTCTGTGGATCTGCCAGCGAGCATCCAGGTAACTTACGTCGATTCTCTTCGTGATCTTCGAGTCTGTGCGTGATCCAGCGACGAAGAACTGCCGTGGATGAGCTCAACATGCGAAACTTTCTCGTCGAAACCGATCTCGTCAGTGTAGACCTTTGGATTGTTTTTGTGTTTCTGCCTCGATCACGCTCACGATTCTGTCTACCCAGGCCGAGATCACCAAGGCCGATCAAGGCTGGCCAGCGGAGCTCTACGCCGGAAGCTCCAGACTGGGAACGCTTCAGAAGCTCGCCTATGGAAAGGTTTGTGAGAAAGAGAATTGTTCTTCCTGGAAAACTTACTTGTTCTTCGCAGCTCAAGAAGGGCCGAGTTGTCAAGGTGAAACCATACCTGCTCAAGATGAAGAAGCACCTCCATGTCTTCCACGCCAAGGAGTGCCAAGTGAGGATCATCTTTGGCTGCAATGGCAGGGTCTGGATTGGCGATGCGAACCAAGGCGATGAGGTCGAGCAGGAGCTTTCGATTGGCACCAGGGAGGTGATTTGCCGCCTCGCAAGCAGTGCTCATCTGGTTCGAGCGAGTCGTGGAGGTTTTCGACAAGAGCCTCAGCTCCGCCACCACCATCAGAGAAATGCTGGACTCCAGATTTGAGCACCAAATTTCTCAAAGTAGCTGGAACAAATCGAAGAGATCTTCGTGAAGATCATCCTTACATCATACCTTTCTTGATGGATCTTAGTGTTCTTTCGGGATTCTTTGGAGAGTGTTGCTAAATCTTGCTAAATCTTTTATATCGATCGAGCGCTAGTTCTACTGCGATCGAGAGCACACTGCAAGAGAATATCAGATCCTTGCGGTGATTTCAACCCAAAATATCGATCGCGACCCTGAGAACAAGAAATCCATGCTTAGATCGCACGGGACGATCGCTCACGCACTGCAGGCATTGGCCAGCAGCACGTATCCCGCTCCATCGCCGCCTTCCAGATCAAGCACGCTCTTGGCGGCGGCCGCGCCATTCCCATCGCCGCTCCTCCCGCAAGCGCCTAGCAAGCTCCTCCAGTATGCCGCGTCCGGGAGATAAGGCATATTCGCGATCAAGTCCCGGGCATCTTCCAGATGCCCCGACCGGCTCAACACATCCACCATGCACGAGAAGTGCTGGCTTTCCGGCCTCATGTCATAGTCCAGCGTCATTGCCACGAGGGACGCCCGGCACGCGCCAAGCTTGCCAGCGTGGCTGCACGACAGCATGACCGAGATGAAGTGCGTGCCAGCTGGCATCTCAAAGAGCACCGACACGTGGAAGAGATCCAGCGCCGTCCTGGGCTGCCCGTTTTGGGCGTAGCCGGCAATCAGCGCACTCCACGTCACCACATTCTTCGCGGGCATCGCGTCGAAGATCCTCTGGCTCTGCCCGAGATTCCCATTCTGGGCATATGCCGCCAGCATGGCTGTCCACGTCACAACGTCACGATCCAGCAGGGCGTGGAAGACTTTCCACGCGTCTTTCATATGCCCGAGCTGGGAATATCCACACAGGAGCGCGTTAGATGATACCAAAGTTTTTTGAGGCATGTCCGTGGCAAGCTTCTGTGCATATTCCAGATGCCCTCTTTGGGCATATGCGGCCACAATGATATTCCAAGATACAGCATCATGCTCCGGCATAGAATCAAAGAAGCTTTTGGCAACTTCTACAGATTCTTGTTGGGAATATGCACCTAGCATGGTGTTCCAGGAGATAATATTTCTCTCTGGCATCGTATCAAAGACATCTTTTGCATCACTAGTATGCCCATTTGCGGCAAATATTGAGAGCATAGACGTCCATGATACAATGTTCCACTCTGGCATTTTATCAAATAAAAATTTAGCCTCTTTCCATTCGTCATTTTCCACGTAAGAATCCAGCATGGCATTCCAAGAGACTACATTTCTCTGTGGCATGGAGCTAAACACGTCAACCGTGTCTTGCAGATGCCCACTATGAGCATAAGCCGAGAGCATGGCATTCCACGTCACCGTGTCTCTTTCCGGGGCGGAATCAAACACCTCCTTGGCCTCCTGGACATTCAAGCTACACGCCGCAACCATGGCATTCCATGTTACAAGATTATGCTGCGGAATGTCCTCGTAAAACAACCGCTTGGCTTCTTCCACGTGTCCATTCTGTGCATATGCGGAGATCACGGCCGTCGACGAGATGAGGTCTTGTTCCGGCATACTTTCCAATAACCGCCTTGCATGCTCGAAGAATCCAAGATGTGAATATACCGCAACCATGGCAGTCCACGACACAAGGTTCCATTTTGGCATGGAATCAAATATTTGTTTGGCATCATCAAGATACCCATTGTGGGCATATGCTGATAATATTGCATTCCATGAAACAACATCACGTTCTTGCATGAACCCGAAAAAGAATCCAGCAGCCTCTTTGATATGCCCGTTTTGGGCATATGCAGCCAGCATGCAATTAAAAGAAACAATGTTCCATTTTGGCATCGCATCAAAGACGCTCTTGGCCTCGTCGATATGCCCATTGCTGCAGTAGGCAGTGAGCATCAGATTCCAGGTGAAGGAATCTCTCACGACGCTCGCGTCAAAGATCCGACGAGCATGATCCACGCTCCCGCATTTGCCGTACATGTGGATGAGGCGATTCGACAGGAAAACGTCGCTAGCTTTGAGGAGCGGCTTGATTTTGAGGTGAAGCTCCTGGGCAGTGCGCAGCGTCTTGCAACTGTCAATCAGTCGGAGGCACTCTTTGCGATCGATGCATGGTGTCATACCCTGCTGAAACTAACTGTCACTTTTTCGTATAGAGAAACTGGAAAAACAAACTTTTCACTATAGAATGCGTGCGAGTCGACCGCCAACACAAACTTGTTCAAAGGCATTACCGAGTGCTTGCCGAGATCAAACAAAGTCTTGACAGTAAACCCAGAACTAAAGTTTTGAGCAAGAGCGTTAAACTCACGAACAAACTGGTCACTAGCAAGCGAGACGAGCAGCAGCGCTCCGATGATCCAGGCCGAGCTGTTCTTCATATCGTGCTCTAAAACACATTCAGCCTTCAAGAAATTGTGATGGGAATGGCACGACCGCGTCGTTTAGCCTGAGATGGTTAGAAGATCCATTTCCTAAGTGGTTAAATACATGAATCATAAGTGAAACTGTGAGTTCACGCCATTTGCAAGCTACAAAGAGCTATCAGCAAGCAAGGCAGTGGAATACATGAATTTTGGTACTAGGACCATTCATGAACAATGGATAAGAACAACTTCGAGAAAGGTATGCTGTATATGAAGAAGCTTTAGGATGATCTCATGTTCTTTGGAAAATGTTGCCAGTTCTGGTGGGTGATTCTCCGTATCAAGCACTAATTCTACTTGCAATGATTTCATCCCAAAATATCACATACATCCCGCTCCCAGATCAAGCACACTCTTGGCGCATCCCCTGCACTCGACGAGAAGATCACGAGAACATATCGAGAAGAGGATCAAAACGCGCACAATTGAGCCAATTCTTAGAGCCTCTCCATCCAAATCCTTTCGTTCAAATCCTCGCTTTGAGGCATTTGTCTAAATTTGTCAATTAGGTATATTTATAGATGTAAAGAATGTCTCGAACATGATAATGTTATTCTTATATCCAAATTTGCAATATAAAACTTTTTTGATATATAACTCATATTGATCGATAAGAAAATTAATAGAAATGTCTACACTTCCAAGGGAATATATAAACTCCTTAGACACTTTTCATAAATAACTAATAGGACCAAAATGAGACTAACACAAGGGGTAGAAAAACAAGAGTGTTTAGTGGACACAATAAGTTATTATATAGTGAACATTAAGGGATTGGAGTTAATATTTAGGGATTCTCAACACTAGTACGTGCAATACAAATATATAAGTTTTTTATCACTATTTTAAATATACTTGACTAATAATAACTTAGGATTTCTTTCCTTATGCCCTTTTGATATAAGTGGATATATGTTAACTAAATTCTTAACTAACTTGGGTGGAGATTGATAAAGGGTCTAACAATATTAACATTTTGTTATTGTGGTAATAAAAGGATAGATTTGTTGATTAAGAGCTTTTGATACTTATAATTATATTTGCAACAATTATGAGTTTTTAGTGATGCTATTTGATTTGACAAATGTTTCTATGACTTTTTACAGGTTGATGAATCAAGTTTTACATCCTTGCATAAGAAATTTCACAATTGATTACTTCGATAATATCCTAATATTTAGCTCTATAATAGAAGAATACAAAATCCATGTATAAAGAGTTTTGGAATTCTTGAGAGACAATAAACCCTACTTGAAATTATCCCAAGTGTGAGTTTTTTTTGGAGGAAATTGAATATTTTGAGCATTTGATTTCAATGCATGGTGTGAGAGATGGTTAATTGGTATATACTTTGGATAGTGCATGATTTTTATAGTTTTCTTGGTATGATTAAAGTTTTTTAATGATTTATAAAGCACTTTTTAGAGATAACTATTCTCTTAACTGATCTTCTCCAAAATATGTTAAAGTTTGCTACTATTTATAATTGGAATGACAAGTGAAAAAATTCTTCAAAGTTATATAATGAAATTAACCTTCTCGAAACAGAGAGTTACAAGTATAATTATTACTATAAATAGGTGGTAGTATTATTATATGGATTCAGACCATGAGTTTCTTTTATTTTTCTATTGTCAAAAGGATCTTCAAGGTTGTCTTGCTCATTGACAAAAGTTAAAGAAAAAAAATGAACAATTTAATATGTAATCTTTATAATATGAAATGGAAGCTCTTGAATTTAACTTCTTAATAAGTCAGTATTACTCAAACTCAAAAAAGCTTAACCCTAAGTATCCCAAGATTTTTAACTGATTGGAAAAAAAGATTACATTCTTATTCATAATCTTTTTTTATTTATATTTAAACCTCAATGACTTTCAAATTGTTCTCTTTGGTTGCTTATCACTAATTTATTTTATCCTTTATATATATTTGAGAACAAATGGGGGAATATTTTAGTCAACTTTATCATTAGTTTACCTAAAATGTTTTGAGGAAATAATGCTATTTAGAGGAGAGGTTGTGCCATTCCCATGACGCATGAAGGCTGAATTCACATTAGATTTTCTTAGGGCTTGCCCACATTTCTGAATACACTTGTATTTTCTTTATTTGCATGAATTTATTTGCATATCTTGATCACTCACAATGTCAACTAGCAAATCATAAAAACTGAATAATCGGTTTATAAAAACCTAAGAAAATTGTTAGAACTATCTTTGTCAAACAACATCATTTTATATTTAATAATTTTGTAAGTTTATCTTAAAAACTAATTTTTAGAACTAAGATGAAAGCCTAAAGCTAGCTTTCATATTAAGGGGGTTGAAATTTATAGTAAGGATAATAGGTAGGAGGCATTTACGACCAACCTATTTAACAAGGTATTTTTTTTTTTGTTCTGCATCTAATTTTGTTTAAACCCAAGCTCCCTAGCTGGTGAAGTATCTATGTCCTTATGTTATACCATTGATATGCCAAAATTAACATTAGAATCTATTTGGCTTCATTTTATATATTAGTCTTAGTATTGAAATATTGGATGCTCTATTCAATATTGTTTCATACTCTTATTCTTTTACTTTTTGAATGTATGCTTAAGAGTTTGGCTTTATCCCTTTGTTCAATAACTAAAAACCCTAAAACTTAAGTCTCACTTGGCGGATATATTTAAGTCTTAGGTTTTGCTCTAT